TTTTTTCTTTTATTAAACTGCATAATCTATTTTAGATTTATTCTCAATATAAAGCTAAGCAACTGAAAAAAAACAACAGAATCCACAAGAAGTCTGGCTTGCAGGCTTGTGAAATCCAATGCTGACAAGAATTAGCCACCAGAAGTTAATCCATTTTAATCCATTTCCCAGGTCATTCCTATAGATGAGTGACTACATCCAATATCAGCAGCATGCCTGTTTGGCAGGGTTCAATAGGTATTGTCATTCCCCACAACAACCAGATAACTGGTGCCTCTCCACTTTCCATGTGTCACACAAAGATTTCAGAGTTACAATAAGACACACACAGCCACTTAACATATTTGTGTTAGAGCTGCATTTCACTTCAACTGTGGCAGAACTAGGCCCTTCAAAGGTGGGACCTGATGGTCTTGGAGGCCTTTTCCAACCTTAATGATTCTATGATTCAAGACAGTAGGCACTGTTTTGTCTACCTCTTCTCTGAGTCTTCCCAATTAAGCTCTGTAAACTAGAAATTGTCAGATGCACAACCAGAGTTTCAGCAACAATATGCTATCATGTAACCATAGTGATGTTACATTAGTTTTTATACTGCTAATTAAGATACAAAGCAGTATATTTGCATTAATTTTAGCAATATGTTAAAAGCTGTTTAAAACACAGTCTTGACCCAATTATTGTCTCAAGATAAGGACAGGTCAAGCATTGTCCCCTGTGTCTGAAACTGCACTTGAAACATGTGCATTGTTGCTCTAAGGACAGCACTACCTGAAAAGTTAAAGGTTAAACCTTTAGGTTTTGAGTTTTGTTTGGTGGCTTTTGGGGTTGGGGTTTTTTGTGCTTGGGATTTTTTTTAAGGTAATTAAATTTCTCAAAGGTAAGCAATTTTATACTCTGAAGTAGTTGCATGAATACAGATGTACACAGAACCCTAATTTTCCTCAGTTCACTGCAAGTCTTATTCACCCGATACTGTTACACTAAACTTGTTATGTGAAACAAGCTTTTCATTCTTTTCTTGTCCATCCTTCTCAGACACTGGAAAGAAGCACAGCCATGTATCTTCCCTTTCTCATGAATGGGAAAAAATACTGAACAGTGTAATGATAAATGGCAGGGCCACAACATTCTGTCTTCCTTTTCTTCTTTTAAGCCTTTCCTTGATCAACAATCCCAGAAGGAACTACAACTGCCTCAGCAGTCAACAAAGGATGACAGAGACATAGTACTAAGTGGCAGTGCTGCAGCAAGAATCTTAATACATTTCTTAACAGATAGAGGCAAAGGTGAAACACTGGACAAATATTTGGAAAATCTGATAGGAGTTGTCTGTTAGCCTGATACAACCTTCTGCATATCACACCTCACGCCTCAGCTTCCCATTTATAAAATAGGATAGATTTCCTTCTCCCACTATTGAAATAGCTTCTAATGTGCTACATTTATCAGACTTACTGTCAAATGAACTTTCCTTACAACAGATATAAATAAACAAATAAATCAAGACATGAATCCTAATTAAATTAATACTAGCGGTCAACTCAACAATTTTGTAACAGATGTCAAATTTCGCTGGAGTTTGACTTGTGCAGCTCGTCCTGCCTTCCACTGGTAAAAAGTCACAGCAGCTGCTCACATAGAAGATGAACACAGAAAGGATTAAAGGACAGCAGCAGCAAGATGTTAAACACTTTAGAGCCAAGCCAGAGAAATGAGGCAACTTATACATTTTATGGATCCATAAAGGAAACAGAATGAAGGGAAGGAAAGTTCAGAAGTTTATTGAACTGAAACATTTTTACAGTGCTTTCAGCTTGCAGCAGTGGCCTCATTAGAACTCCTGGCACCTCTAATTTCACTGGAAGTGGCCAGCGCAGTCCGTCCTCAGATAGACTGGTTAGTCAACTATGGTTCAATGAGCACGGCTCTCACTGACTATCACTACACAATGAGCACACTGTCACCTGGAGAAGCACTTCCTCTTTCATATCTAACTGCACACACAAATACCACTTAAATAGTATCAACAGAAAAAATTTAATTCTAAAACAAAGTCACTTTGTGGCACTAAAATTGCTTTAGAAACTTTTTTTCTCCTAATGGACTCGTCTACTACTGTCAGTGAAAAAGATGTCAAAATACTCATTACACAGCACCTATCCTGCTCTCCTTTGTTCCTCTCTTTGTTCCTTTAGATATCATCTTTGAAAGACAATTTCTGCCTTGAATTACCAGTGCCTTGTGAATTGATTACATTTTCTTTCACATCAGCTCATCTGTGACTCTAGAATGAAAACACGAAGACACTTTGGAATCAGTGACTTTAACCCATATTAAACATAGCTAGATAAATAGCCAAAGGATGGCTTCTAAATCAAGACTAAAAATAACTTGTCTGAAACTGAAAGGTTCCCCTCCACATACATATTTACATAAGGAGCCACAAAAAAAGCCTCACCCTTCTAAAGTAAAAGGAGAAGTCATTTCCTAGTACAAAAGTCTAACATGGCCTTGAGTGTTTACATTTGTGAGCACCAAAACTCCATACTGGTTTAGTGGTGCTTTCATGTTTCACTAGAACAGCTGATAGAAACCTAGCAAGGTTTCAGTGGCAAGGACAGGATTTCTTAAAAGTTTATTTTGTATGAAATTTTACAAAAGTAGACTGGCCACGTCAATCTGACGGGAGCAAGCAGGTTTATAGGGAGATAGAATTTCATGAAAATTAGTAGGTAGAGCTAAAACTCCCGTTTTCAAGCACGCAAATCCTCCTGCAAATCATGTACGTTACAAGAGGTACAAAGACATTCTGTATTTTGAAAACAGCAACATAATGATTCAGGAACAGCAGTCAGTCAGGTACTAAAAGACACAACCAGCATCTCCTGCATTTCAAAGACAGCCACCATGATTCTGTAGCCTAACCAGAGGTTCAAATTCCCTCTTCCTGGTTGATTTCTGTGTTTGGGTTTTCTTTGGTTGGTTGTTTGTTTTTCCATCTCTTTATGTAGAAACATAATATTAGGAACACTGAATGTGGTGGGAAAAAAACTTAGCACAGTCCTGACCACTGAGTTTGATAAATGGGTAGATAAACAGCATGACTGAACCTCGAAGCCATGCTAACATGCCATTAAACAAAGGAGCAGAACTCAAAGACAAGATTAGAAGGCACCTCCTCTATCTAATTATATCTCTGTAATAGGTACTGTTGTTTCAGCAATAAAGTTCCAATTTTCAGTGCAAGCACCCTAACTAGGCAGTTGAGGTAGCTGGGATGAAAGACAGCTCACTCCTATAAATCATAGGTAAAGTCATCCAAGGTGCTCAAATCCAGGAAGAGATTTCAAGACTATTAAGAGCTGGAGAAGATACCAAAATTCAAGACAATATTTTGTCTCTCTAACTAAAGGCAGCAAAAATTGGTGACTGCAGGCAGTTCCTAAGTTATTCCTAGACACCCAACACTGATATAAAACAAACAGAGCTTCAGCTCTTTTTTAAACATGTCACTCCTAGAGCCATAAAACTACTATAGTAATACCACCACATCTCACCCCTTCCTCTCCAAGAAGCTGAATATAGCTCGAATCTTGTTAATGTGAACTCTTGAAGCTTTCTGTTCTGAATTAGAGTAAGTTCTACTCTTCAAGGTAACCTTAGTTAAAATAGAAAGGTTATGTCCACTGACTAATCACAGTCATTCTTTGACAATTCCTTACCTAAATATGCTGCTGTCTTCTGAAAACCAGCATGCAGAACAGAAATTGAAGTAACACAGTCCCATAATAATACACTACAACTTTTGCAACAAGTCTTTTACATAACGCACTAACTCATGTAACTCACTTTGCAACACTGAAAAAGTTCTCAGACACAGAACCAGAGTTCAAGAGACCCCAGTTCTGTTCCAGTCATTATCTGTCACCCTGGACTTAAGTTTTCTGTAACTACATGGAACGCCAGAGACAACAAATTAATACATTCTCATTGTTACTCCCACAAAATTACCTTGCAATGCACGCTGTCTCGGCAAGAACCAGCTATTTACAATGAATGTACACGACACGACGGCCTACAAGAAATTTCTGCAGTGCACATCTGTATTTCCAGAGAGCTATAAAGCAGCAAGCTATGCTATTTTTCATTAAATGAAAGTAACCTTTCTAGTTAGCGCAACTAAGGCACTACGCTGCGAATTCACGACCGCGAAACAGTGCACCACAGTTCTCCTGACCAGGCCAGGCTCTAGTGTTATTGGAGAAAGCACCGTAGCCAGATGGTAGCACTTAATTTTTCTGTGACCTGTTAGAGATTCTCAAGACTTTAAAAGTCTGCTAAGAAACCTTCACATTACCTTTTATGAAACGTGCGGGCCAGCGTGAACAATGAAGAGTTTCAGACCAGGTAACCCCAAGCAGCGCCGTCCCACTGCCAGCTCTGACAGGATGTGCGCCCCCCGCCCTTTGACACAGGGTGCCAAGCCTCCCAGTTCCCCAAACGCTGCCTATCTGCTTGCCCGTCGCTCCACGTTCTTCCCAGTCCGTGAGATTCCCCCCTCTCCGCCTCGGACGGGGCCGAGACAAGCCGGGCAGAGGCCGCGGGCCCGGCGCTGCGGGGCCGGGGCGCTGCCTGGCAGAACCGCGAGGGCGGCTCTGCCCCGCGGCGCGAAGGCGCGCAGGCCGGGCCCCTGCCCGGCAATGCGGAAGCGGCGCCCGGCGACGCAGGACCGGGACCGACCCTCGCCGCTCACCTGCCCCGGCGGGGAGGCCTCGCCGCAGGGCGCGAGGCTCCAGGGGCCGAGGCGGCCGCTCCCGCAGCCTCCGGCCGCCCCTCATCCAGAGCCGGGCGCGCGCCGCTCCGCTGCCGCCTCGCGCGCCGCCATCTCGGCCCCGTCACCCGGGAGACGCTCCCGCCCCTTCCGGCCGCGCCGCTTCCCTCGGTCCCGATGCCGGAGCACGGCCGGGCCGCGCTGCCCCCGGCGGCGTCACCCCGCCCGCCTCTCCCTCGAGGCTCGACACAGCGGCCGCCGGGCCACGGGGCGTCCCAGCCGGGTCTTTGTCCCTTGGAGGAACTGCGATCAAAAGACGTTGTGCTTTAGCGGTCTCAAGGTGCTGCACACGTGGCAGTAAAGGTTCCTATGTGGGATGCTGAGCTGTAAATTTGGCTGCTACTAAAAAACAAACGCCGCTGACAGGTGCGGCCTCAGTGTCCCAGTTTGTTCACCGAGATGATTCGAGAAGTGCTTGTCCGTGTCAAGTGATCTAACTGGCTGGTTAAGGGATCTAACGTAAGATTTTCCAGAGCTCTCTAAGCCTCCACTTCTGTTTCATTCGGTGTGTGAGGTAAAGGGAGGTTTTGTCCGCTTCTCACAGGGAAACCTCGTCAATTCTAGGGCAGCACTAATATAATTTCCCTTCAACTCCAAGCCATGATGCCGAGCTCTCTTTGCACTGTTTAAGTATCTTCCCTTAAAGTGTTCCTCTTCTGCTAGTAGAGTCAGCCAGCCTAATGCTGTTCTCTCTACCGTGGGTTCTGGCAGTGAGGAGATGGGTGATAGGGGGATGGCTCTTGAGAGAAGGCACTAGTATCATACAGTCTCATGTCCTGACAGACACTGTGACTGCATTTCCCCAACCCTTCATCAGGAAACAGGCCCCAAAGGGGCAAGGAGCCAAGCATGATATGGCTGGCTGTGGGGCAAAGGCCTTGTCAGCCAGGATGGGGGCAGGGCAGTCTGGAGGCAGCTCAGAGTCCAGACTGCAGGGCAGGATTCTGGTGATGAGCAGATCTGAGGACAAGCCAGGAGTCAGTGTGCTGGTCCAAGATCAATAGAGTCCCTAGTGAGTCAGGGCACAGTTGTGGCCAAGCTCAAGCACTTCTACAATGTTATTCATGTGGGATTGAAACCCTTACGCCTGCAGAACCTGCCTTCAATAAGAGAAACTGGTTTTAAGACCATTTCAAAAGCATTTGTATAGCAGAGTTACACCTCTCAGTATAGCTTTCTTTCTAAAGCCGAAACTGGAAAATAATCTTCATCTGCAGTCACACAGAAAAGCAAAACTGCTAGCGTGACACACTGAGAAAGGTCAGGTTATGACAATAGCCAGTTCCATTTCTTTTGAGAATGCATTCAGGTTGTGTCATTACCGTCTATATACTCAAAAGGGAATATGACACAGTGAGAAGAAAGTATTTTAACATATGCATATAAACACCCACACTTAATATAAAAACTGCCGGAGTGGTTCACCCACACCATCCTCCCAAGTGCATAACAGACCTATGCGTGGCTGTTGCATCAATGAAAAAATCCTGGAAATTGGCAGACTGCTAATTAAAAATAACTACCTTCTTAAAAGCATAATTATGCGATTTCAAAATTAGTAATAATATAAACATAATTTATAAAAGAAATGTTCACAGGAATAAATACTTCTTTGTTTAAAAATTTCATTAGCCCTCAGCTCTGAAGTTTTAAACTTGGATTCCTTTGGATCAGTTAATTTTCCTAAAGAGATCCTCTGAAATCTTAGATATTTCATTGCCACATCAAATGCAGTTCTGCTACAGTAAACTAATCTAGCTTTTTAGGGAACAATTCTTTTTAAATTAATGCTTTTGTTTTACAGATATTAAAGCATAAACATATTAAACCACATTATGTGACAATTTGCAAGTTTGTTAGTGTCTCTTCTTTTATATCTAAAGCAATTTCTATCATTTCAAAGACTGATGGTTCCATCATCCTGATACATTCATGTTTCTATTTAATAACCTCATTCTGTCTGCAAAAGGGATACATTCTCTTTCAATATGAATTCTCCCTCCTACGGGATATGCACTTCATTTACTTGTGTGCTCTCTCGCTGTTAAGTCTTTTATTAAAGCTACAAGTAGTTTTTTAACTAAGGGTACCTTTCCTCAATTACAGTCCTGTTGAATTGTGTAGTAACTCAAGTGTCACATTTCCAGAAGAAATTTTACCTTTAACAAGTGTTTGATTCTGGTCAAAGTAGAGTTTTTGTAGTTCTAACCACAGAAAAATTACAGGTTCTTACTATAAAATTCAGAAGTAATTTTCTATACTGCTGATACAAATTCATATTCTGCTCTTTGAAATTTTGTCATGTTGAAATTCTAGATGAGAAGAGGCAGTTCCATTGTTAGATACATTTTCCTTTCCTTTGTAGTATTTCTAAGCACCTATTTTGGGTGATATCTAAGCACTGTCCAAAGAGTTTGACTAAGTCTAGGCAAGTATGTATCCTAGCCTGTAGAAAATATGACCCCTTTCCCAAGTAAGTAGTCAAGTATTCATGAAAGCCTCTTTTCTCTCTAAAGGTCTTCCTGGCTGAAGCTCTACTCTCTGCTGCCTCTGACAGCATACCTTAAATTCCTTCCCTTATTCCCACTAAGGCTTGATGTGCCTTGTAGGGGAAATTTCCAGACCAGTGATCTTGGTGAGAGGCCTTTGTAGGAAAATTTAACCAACTGACTCTTATCAAGCATATAATATATAAAAAATCATGTTCAAAACTGAAAAGGAGCATACCCCAAGTAGTTTTTTTGGAAGCAGTGGCCAAGAGAGCCCAAAGAGCAGCAGTGGCTGCCTAGATCTTCCTGAGCTCAGAGGAGACTGTGCAGGTTTGGTCCTCTGCTGGAGTGGGCAATTTTGTTGCTTCTCTGAGAATGATTCAGCATCCTACTTCCTTTAAGCATCTCTCTGCGAGACACTGACCTTCACGCTGGAGCCCAGACAGCTGACAGGACATTTTCTGGGGCAGAACTCCCAGTCAGCCTAGAAGAATACCCACCTCAGGTTGAAACAGGCTGGTTGGTTTGTTCAGTGCTGTAAAAAACTTAGAGGTGATGAAGAATGTGTGATTTTAATCTGATGCTGAGAAATTTCCCGGGGAGATTATCTGGGTTCTTCTCTCTGTTTACAGCATTGGCTTCTCCTTCCTAGGGTGTTTCTGTATTTAGTGTTGGTGAGTTAATATACAGAATGCTGGGAATATGTGCCTGAACCCAGTTTTCCCTGTCCCTGCAATATTCCTCATATTTCTCAACTACAGATTAGGTAGAGGATAATGGGATCTCTTTTTTATACGGCTAATTTATCACTTCATTACTAAATAGGAAATCTTCCTTTCCATCCTGTTGTATGCAGATATTAAGTAATCTTGCTTGACTCACACATCTTTCTTGTGTTTCTTAGCAAGGAAAAAAAAATATGTAAGTTCAAGTTATTAGAAGCTGCATCTTAGGCATTGTGTTAGCATTTGAATTCAAATCCTCTAAATACTTGAGTGTCCAGCATGTGGCTTTATAAAAATAGTTATCTACATGGATATGCTTGTGTGTTTGTGCCTGCATATATATGATTTGCATTAAGGGAAACGAGAGTGAATAGTATGGAAAGGTAAGGTCATGAAGTTTTGTTGGCAAATGCGTTTAGGAAGGCAAAAAATTTTCTTTCTAATTTTTTTTGTTGTTGTTTTGTATGTTTGTTTTTTGAGAGGAGAGAATAATGAAACTGTTCTTTGTTTCTTCATACCTCAGCATTAGTTAGAAGAATTTCTACTTATTGGTAAAACACGAGTTTCTTTTATTCACACTCTTTGCCAGATCTTATTGTCTAATTTCAAAATAATTATTCTAAAGTTAGGAAAAGAACTTAATAGAAAAAAATTCTCCCTTTTCCCATTTTAAAACAAATCAATTCAGCAAAAAATACCTATGTTATAGCCCCAAAACTTCAAAACTTGGGTTTTTATACATACACCTATGTATCAAGACCAAGTAGCCATTGGAAGTGTTAAGTTCCCAAAATCTGACTGAAATCAATGCCAGCCTCAAACAAACTGTATTGTCTCAGTAAAATTTGGATTGGGAAATCTAGATCCCAGTTTTGATGGGGGCAAAAAACCAGAAACTCGTTTTGATTATGGCTCTGTAACTTCATGTATATACAGCCTAGGGGAGACAGCAATCAAAGACGAGGTATGATGAAGGGAAAGAAATACATTTTCTCCTTCATTATCAAGTTTTTCTGTTCACTGTATGATGGTGAAGAAGCATTTTAAGTTATCTTCATCATTACAGCAGTCAGTAGGCAGAAACGGGGCTTAGATCACACTCTTTCTGATCTTTATTCAACAAAGGAAGAACAATCCTCTTCTGTCCATTGACTATTTGATGAAACACCTCCTGTAAAATATATGTCAACAGGCATTTTGAAATGTAATTTGAACGACTCAAATATTAGCAAATTGATCCAGGATTTGGGCAGAATCTTATCTCAGAATGAAATGTGCATGAAAAAGTTAACAAACATTAGCTGTAGTTTTCCAATCCAAGTTACAAAACAAGATTTTGTAATGCTTAACTGTTACTGTCTCTTTCATTGTAGCTTCCGAGGGCATTGCGTTCCACCCAGCTACACCGGTACTGAGGCCAACAACTTCTGCTTGTGTTCAACTAAAGCAACATTTCTCCTTATGGAAAGTATTCTGGTTTTCCTTTCTCTGCTGGAAGAAACTGAGCAACTGCTTCCAGCTCCAGGGAACATGCATTGGCGAGTACTGTATTTCCAGAAAGTTTGATTAAATCTGAACTAAAGCAGTTCTTCCGTAAAGACATGTTGTACTCAAGAAAGCACTGAAAAATGAAGGATCCACCATATTTCTTCATGGTTTGTCCTAGCAATTAAACAGCTGTACTTTTAAAATTGAATCTGTCTGACTTCTATTTCCAGCTACTCTTTATGCCATTCTCTGTTAAAGTGCCCTTTGTTTCTTTTTTTCTCCCTGAGGAAATTATGACACATCACAACCATATTTTGTATCAGCTTTCTTTTCAATAGAGTAACATTGGGAGATTTTTAAAGCTTAGCTAGCAGTGTTAGCCCTCAATAACTTCCTTTTCTCTTGCAGTATTCCTTTTTTTCCTTCTTCCTTGCCAAATTGTGAGTTGTACATTATGAGTGTCAGACTCACCAATGCAGCATGCAAAGCTAAGATCAGTGTTATCTCTGCTCATTTGTATTCAAAGATCCCACGGAAACAAATGATTTTTTCACTAGGATTTCCAGTGTCATTGCTTTCCAGGGAATTGTGTTGCTTTTGCCCTGTGAACTAGATGCAAAAGCCCAACACTGCACTGACTTTGTACACAGGCAGTGTATCAGAGCCAGCCAGCAGAAGAGGCCAGGTTGCTCTGCCCTTGTCAGTATTCACCCACAGGCTGCCAGATGCAGATTTTATCAGCAGCAACTTTATACCTTACCTCAGGATTAATGATTTAAAGGATGGATACCCCTTTCCTAGTGACTCCAACAAACAGGAATCAGCAGGGGTTTCTTAGAAATTTTTTATGATCTGCTACTAAATCACTTCACAAGTTATAAGGTAAGCAAAAAGAACATTTTTAAGAATAGTACTGTTCAGGTGGAAAGCACCATGGTAAATATGAAATACACTGAAGTGAGATCAGGCCTTTTGTCATTCCAAGCAGAATGCTGATTAACCAATTTATTACACTAAAGTGGTGAAGTATAAATTATTTATGAGGAAAGGAATTTATTTTTCCTCATCTTGAGCTCCAGTCATTATGCATTTGGCTCTGCAGCCACAGCTGTTTCTTTTAGAAACTGAATAGCTGAGAAAAAACAGGCCAAGTAGAACACAACTCTGATTTCAATTGCAAATACTTAGAAATTTAAATAAAGCCAAAGAAATACAGCAGATAGAAGGACTGGATATTTTCATTGCTCCAATGAAAACTCAATCACTAAGTAAGTTAAAGTCAAACTCTCAAGGTGCAACTACAATTAAACATATTCCATGAGATGAGGACATGGGCAAGGTAGTGCAGAGCTGTCACCCCAAAGGACCCTCCAGAGAGAAATGAGAAGCAGCAAATATTTTGTAATGGCACTAATGGACTCTTACTGGATTTGAACAGATTTCAGATGTACTTGCTCTCCAAATGGTAAAGGTCCATACTGAAACATTACAGCAGTAAACAAGAATGAAGAACAATGGGGAAAAAAGGAGAGAAATAACCCCCCCAAAAAACCAACTGGAAAACCTGTGATGGCAAAATCACAATGATCTGTCTAAGAAGTGAATGTAAGTTTGACATGCCAGCAGGATTTCTTGGTGATGTCACTGGTTTGTAACATTTTTTGACTGGACTATGTCAATATGGAGAAGCACTCATGGGAAAATAATTACCAAACAAATTAGAATCTAACCAATTTCAGTTCATTGTGCACTTCATACCCTGCAGGGCCCAACCAAGGGAGAGGCTAAGCTGACTTTTTTCTATTGGCCTTTCACCGACAGCAGTAGAACTATTCAATTCACTGTCACATAGAATTTGGATTAATGTGCATCCAGAGCTATACCAATTTACTCTAGCTGTTATCCAACCCATTATTTCATTGTCTATTTACTGGTTTTATTTTTTTGCAGACTTGTCTACAGAAAGACTGAGCTAAATCAGCAACTAGAGTGTATATACACTGGGCTGCCAGCTAAAAGAAGTATTGCCCACAGCCGAGGTAATTCACATCAGTTCTGAGTTGTCACTTCTTGGCTATCTAGTTCTGTGTGCTGTCTGCCTCTGTAAGGAACCAATGTATTTAGTGACATTGAAAATGCTGAAATTTTGAAGAAAAATCAGTTAATGCATCTATCTCTCTGTATATGCTACAGGTATGGAACCTTTAACATAGATCATCTTATTTTTCAGTGTGTGGAGAAAAAAAACCTTGGCAGGACAATGTTCTGACTGACTCCTGAATGTTTCTGTTTTCAACACTCAACTGAATGAGTAGAAACTGAGGCTCTGCAGAGAACAGTTTGCAGAACAAGCTACCCTATGCATCTGAGAATAAACCTGCAGGTAAAAAGAAACCATCTCCTATTGCTGCTCCCAATCTGACTTCATTCTTAGAAGATCCATCAAGATACCTCTGACCAGCACAGTCCAGTGTAATTTGGGTCTGCACATGTCCAACATGTTTTTTGCCTAGCTACTGAATGGAGGCAGCACTGGTGTTATTGACAGAACTCATGTGGGGAACACACGGCGTTGGGCTGCTTGTATCAGAGAGCAGCCAGTGTTACTCTGAGACAGGAGCCACTGGTGGATCTCTGGAAGGCAGTCACTCTCTCCCCTTCCTTCTGGGTCTCTGAACGCTTTTGCATTTAAAGCCGCTCTGGGCAGAACTTTATAGCTTATTTTTGGATGCCAGTGAAAGAGCTATTTGTCAAACCTTTAACTTCAGGTTGGTCAGCACAATTTTCTGAAAATTTATACAGCGTTCAGTCTTTATGTGCCAAGTATGAATTGCCTGCAGAGAACTACACTGCACTTACAGCAATTGCACTTGAACTGTCATGTTCTAGGTGGAATCTCAAATGTTTACTAATCAGACAACAAGCCTTCCACAGTTCACTGTATGAATACCTTAAATCTCAGCCTCTCCCACCACAGTGAAGGAAATCAAGTGGAAACTCTGGAGCAAGTTGCTGTGTGTCCATGACATGCTGCAGCCATTCACCAAGCAAAGACTTTTAAAATCCTATGCAATATATTACATCAGCAAAGACCTCTAAGAACAAAAATACAGATGGTATTTTATAGCTTTGACATATATAAAACACACTCAGCTAGCATATATTTTGCTAGATCATGTGAAGAAACGTTCTGTACTCCATCAATTACTGGTATTGGGTAAATCAAGTACAGAATGAAGAACTCAGAAAAAATTTACATATATGCAATTCAGACAGAACATACTAGTAGCAAATGAAGTTGCAGTCCAAAACTGAATTAACATACTGTGCTGGTTTTGACTGGAATAGAATTAATTTTCTTCATAGTAGCTATTATGGGGCTGTGTTTTGGATTTGTGCTGGAAACGGTGTTAATATAGGGGTGTTTTTGTTATCCTTGAGCAGAACTTACAGCGAAGGCCTCTTCTCCTTCTCACCCCACTCCACCCACAAGGGGGCTGGGGGTGCACAAGGAGCTGGGAGGGGACACAGCTGAGACAGCTGACCCTAACTGCCCACAGGAACATCCCAGATCCTATGATGACAAGCTCAACACATTAAGCTGGGGGAAGAAGGAAGGGGGGAATGTTTGGAGTGATGGCATTTGTCTTCCAAAATAACTTAGGAGCCCCACATTCCTGGAGATGGCTGAACACCTGACTGCCAACGGGAAGTCGTGAATTAATTCCTTGTTTTGCTTTGTTTGTGTGCATGGCTTTTGCCTTATCTGTTTAACTGTCTTTATCTCAATCCATGGGTGTTCTCACTTACTCTTCTGATTCTTTGCCCCATCCCACCCAGAGGGGAGTGAGCAAGCAGCTGTGTGGGGCCGAGTTGCCAGCTGGGGTTAATCCATGACACATAATTGAATGCAAAAAAACTTTTTCAAAAACAAGGTGGACCTCTAAATGGAAGAAAGAACTTTCTTATATCTGACACCCACCATTATTTATCAGGATGGAGACAGTGACATGCAGCAAGTATGCTCAAACTGACATGAAGACAGATTTAAAACAATACAGCCTAGGTCGTCAGGAGGAATATCTTCAGCAGATCGCTGATCTGTGATATTACAGTTTTGAGTAGACAAAAGGTATTCATGACCAATTACATCCTGTCCTATTGATGTTGATATTGCCCTCGTTATACAGACTCCTGTCTAGTGCCAAATTTCACCTTTGGCTGTTGCCAGACTCTTCTCTCCCAGCTGTTCTCCAATTTGAGCAGACTGTAGCGCACTCAGCCTGGCACGGACATCTGCCGCTGTTGTTTCGCCCCAGCCCAGTGCAGGTGATGCTCTCGGCTTAGCACCGCTCGCCTCCAGCGCGGGCAGCAGACACATGGCTCTGTACCACAGCAGTTATTGTTCTCTCCAAAAGCCGCGGGACTGGGAGGGATTGGAGAGCGGAGGGGGAGCAGCCGCCGCCCTCCCCATGAGTGGGCCGCGGGTGCCCCCGAGCGGCTCCTCGGCTGGGACTCACAGCGACGACGGGACGGGCACAGCCCACTGCCTCAGGAATGACTTTCTAAATGGCAGGTTTTAGAGTATTCTAGTTAGGAGCATGAATATTTGAGTAAATTAATTTTTCACAGTAGCCACTGAGACACAACAGTATCCAATTCCTCATTCAGTTTCTGCTTATACTTCTTCTCCACTTCATAGTCAATCAAACACCTCAAATTGAAGCTGGAAAAATTAAATGTTTTCACTTCCAAGTCCCTTTCCTGACCCTCTCTATTCATCCACTTTATTTTTGCAGATATTTATAGACCTGGCTGATGTTACAGTTCTGGGTACAAGAATTTAAAATCCATCACGTTAAGAGACTTATGCTGGCAAATTACTGAATTATACTTCAATTTCAGAAGGCCCCAAAGATCCTATAAATAAAAATTACCAGTAATATGGGCAAAGCTATAAAACTGTAGTTGTTGTGGATGAGAATACTGACTCTAATTAAAGTAAATGTGAAAAGAAGTGAATTATTGATGCAAGATAAAACTGCGTTTTTTTGAAGAATTCAACCTCTTACGAATTTCTGAGTAAATATTTGTAACACAAGTCAGAACCTTCTAACAACTCCTTCTCTGGAAAAATGTTACCAAGAGGCACACCACCAACACTTTCATGCAGTCTTAACTTCTTCATCAGAAAGGATATGTTCAGTAGTATGTCATATTCCTATTCCCCCAATTTTTACCCCCTTTCACATTCGTGGTCACCATACTTGTTAACTGCACTTCTTTTCTGAAAATCTGAGCAAGGTTTCACAAATGTATAAAATTACAGATTGTTAAAAACTGGAACAGGTGACACCGTATTACAGTGCACTGATAGAGAGAAGAGCCTTAGAGCTGTGAGTCCACAAAATTTTTTATTAAAATAACACCAAGTTTAAGAAATCAATGCAGTGCAAAGAAATTTCAATTTGTCATACAAAAAAAATTAATGGTTTTCCATTCTTAAGTATGTAAACTGCATTCCAATCCTGACGCGATTGATGCAATACAGAAACAGAAACACTGTAACGCAGATGAAGGTCAAAGTTAAAGACTGGCATGCTGAGCAAGGAAGGTTCTTATTCTTTGCAAGAGTTCTTTCTTTACACTGTCTGGTACCAACGCTGAAACACAAATAAGAAGGCAAAAAGTCAAAAAGACAAAACAAAACTTATGCCAATACCGAACTTTCATAACAGTGACATGGATCCTTTTTTTGTTCTCACAGTTCTGTTAATACATTGAGTAACTGAAACTACTTGATTTTCACATAGCATGTCTATATTTTTCCCATTAAAAATATGCTAAAATTGAGGTCTATTGAGAACACTGTTGTTACTGGTAGGTTTTTTTGCCTTGTCATAGTCCAGAAAATAGGAAAGTTTGAGGGAAAGGATTATTAAATAGTAAACAGGATATAATCACCACAACAAGTGTGATTATCCTACCTTTTTTCTTCACAAATTTAAGACCAAAAATCTCAGCCGTTACCTCAGAGTAAAGGTCTCCAGCAAGTTATTTTGAAAGCCTATTTTTATTTAAAACTGAATGATGTTTCTCCCACTAACATCAAAGTTTATTAGGGAGCCCAAGAGGAACAATATAAAGAAGACTTAAGTGATTCCACTTTTTCCTCTATCTGTATGCTGTGTCCTTTGCTCTTCCCATTCCCATTACACTAAAGCTGTTAGTCCAGATTTTCCATCTCAAAGGATCATGAATTTTAAAACATCTGTGCTACATACTCCAACTTTTCTTGGGACCATTAATTATAAAGATGAATACAGACATGACTAAATAATGTAACCTGCAAAGTAGTCTACACACACAGCTTTTGAATGACTGTTACACAATACCTATTCACATATTTTATTTGTTGTTAATATTAGGCTTCTAACATTTTTCCTTGAATCCAACACAGGCAAGTTCATAATGTTGCTTTCAAAACATTAATGAAATAGAGGCAGGTATGTTTATCGATGTACTACCACATCCATGTATGCATTTTCTTACCTCTGCCTTTGGGAGTGATTTCTGCCACCAAATCATCAACAGTAACATGCTCTAATCCTTTCTCTTTAATGACATCTGGGGAAGACCAAGACCAATATTTTAAGTCTTTTAATCCATTCATTAGAAGACAAAACCTGTGCCAGTGATTAGAATACAAAACCTGCATGCATACGTCATCAGAGAATATGAAGTAGCAAATTACCTAAAGGTAGGTTATTAACTCAGTACCTACTGCATTTTACAGTGGATTAGTCTTTCACTCGTGCCACAGGTTTAAGGATGGGAACTTGTCTCTTCTGATGCATCTTGTTTAGCTCATATTTTAAAAGCAAACATTACAAAGTTTTATCTCATCTGAGCATTACCAGATGTGCCTATTACTGGAGGGTTATAGCACAAGTTGGCTGCTTATCTCTTAGAATACATTATTTACATAATAGCAAGAAAGATGCAACGGGAAAAAGACTTTGAAACATACAAAAACGGAGAGCACGGACAGTAAATCCTTACTACTCTTCCTGTCTTGTTTAAAAAACATGTCTCTATATTTCAGCAAAGTCAAAAAGTATCTCTGGAAGAAAGGAATACGACTATAGAAAAATAAATGTGATGATTTAGTGTATGATATTATTATTATTATTATTATTAATACACATCAGTATTTAAACAATTGTCTACTTATAGTGCCTTGCACACTACTGAAGAATGCAGAAGTCAAAGCTGAGAAGTAATCTCAATTCAGTAGCATGAACCTAAAATATTATTTAAACATACATGTTTTTAACTGTACATCAGTACATAGGATTGTTTGTCCCCAAGACACTAAATGTTTTCTGAACTGACATAACATGAACTATTTGTAAACTGCTTTTTTTGGCTGAATTCCCTGAAATTAATCCTTGATTGCTCAGTTATTGATCCTAATCCATAATGGCAAGAAGTTCTAGAACAAGATACAAAAAAACCCCAAAAAACAAACACAACCTCCCCCAGTAACAGAATGTTTAAGGTTGAAAGGGACCACAGTGGGTCATCTGGTCCAGCCTCCCTGCTCAAGCAGGGCCATCCTAGAGCACACAGCACAGCATTGTGTTCAGACGGTTCTTGAGTGTCTCCAGTAAGGGAGGCTCCACAACCTCTGTGGGCAATCTGTTCCAGTGCACGGTCACCTGCACAGGAAAGTTCTTCCTCGTGTTCAGGTGGAACTTCCTGTGCCTCAGTTTCTGCCCATTGCCTCTTGACCTATTGCTTGGCATTGCCGAGAAAAACCTGGCTCCATCCTCTTGAGACTGTCCCTTCAGATACTCATAAATATTGATGAGGTCCCCTCTTAGTTATCTCTTCTCGAGGCTGAACAAGCCCAGCTCACTCAGCCTTTCCTCATGAGAGAGATGCTCCAATCTCTTAATCATCTTTGTCACCCTCTGCTGGACCCACTCCAGGAGCTCCATGTCTCTCTGTCCTTTCTTTTGGAGGTTATTAGGCTCTTAAAGCAGACAAATTAACTTCTATTTTTCCAGTCTCAGCAGCTGCAGTTACAGTTCAAAGTACTAACGTAAACCAAATAATTTTACATTTCTTTACTATAGCAGAGTGTAAAGCATATAGTTGAGAAGGCAAATAAACATCCCTTTCATTATCTGTACTATTGAAATGGATAATCTCTGGCAGTGGCATCAGCCAGACGACTGCAAGCATGAATAATTTCAGCCTTCTCTGCTGAACCTATGAAAACAATTTAACACACCCAGCCCTACAGAAAAAAACAAACAACTTTGTAATGGAATATTGAGTTTCCAGGCACAACAGACCAAATCAGAATTAAAGTGAAATTTCAAGGGATTTGTTATTTGCTTTAAGGAAATTTCATCCCGTGGTAATATTCCTGGATGCTTAAATACTATTTATAACAGTTTCATATGATTTACGAATCAGTAAATTGTAGTAATGCTAAACACTTAACTCAAAACTAAAGATTTTGGTATTTAGAGGTTCATCTGCTTGTTTTTCCTCCTCTAAGCAGATCTCCTTATTTTCAAGAATTGTATTCAGAAAGAGTCCAAATGCACTTATTTCTCTCCCATGTGTGGACAAAGTTCTGTAAGTTGCAAGTTCTGTAAGTTCAGAGTTTCTAAGCTGCAAACCACTGTATTTGCTCAATTCTCCTTTATCTTGTTTTTTATTCTCCTGTAGTAATGAAGTCATCTCTCTCAAAACAAAAAGCTGTATCATCATGAATATTTAGGGAATCAATTCCTACCCTTGTCTCAGAAGCTTAATAAGGTTCAGATCAGAGTTCTTCCAAGATTTTTTTGCCAAGATAGTAAAATGCTTTCTTGCATGGAAAACTAACTGCCAGGGATACTTTCCTCTTTCCCAGGTCTCATTTAAATTGACTGTTAGGCGGTGCAGCCTTCATCTCAGTTGACTACAAAGGATACTAATTACTTTACCACAGTTACCTTTGCAATGTGCCTTCAACTGATCCTTCCAGCCGCATTCAATTAATTTGGCTCTCAGCAACTCTTTAAGGCTGTTAAGATAATATACAAACTTGTTAGGAACAGCAAACACTCCTGACAGCTTAAATATGCTTCAGCGTGAAAGTTAAGCCTACAGTTACTACCCAAGAACTCCCAGACCAGCAGCAGAAATGGCTGAACAGCACATGAATCCTAAACCAAATGAGTACCAATTTCAGTTTACCCCATTGGACTATGAGGACTTGGTGGCTCAGGAGCTAATTCACAGAATTTCTTCAGGCAGCGTTGATGCTGCAGCCATAGCAAAGGAGTAGAAGCCCTTGGATCACTTCAACTGCCTGAGTCTACTCTAGTAGCAGATGTATACTAACTTTCAAAGTTGGGAGTATTTCACTTGAAACCAAGTCTTCAAAACAAGTAAAACCTTCCCCCCGCCTTCTGAAAAGAGAATTCTGCATGACTGTCTCCAACTGCAGGTTTCTCTCCCCAGTTACACATTACCTCCATATACCAAAAAAAAATATTGAAAGCAAGCTAAAAAAGTGTAAGTTAGTATTAAAAATCAGAAGGGAAAATGAAAACAAACTATGATAAAATAAGCTTTAATATCTTTACCCTTTATTCCATCAGTTAGCAATCCTGCTTATCTTGTATCATCCTAAATAACTCTTGGCAAAACTCCAGTTTTATAAATGAAAGGATTGCAGCAAGATGCTGAACTGTGCAGGTCTAATCCCTTTTATTCAGTGAATTGTGTAGAGGGCAGATGAAGTGATGACAAAAAGCAGAGTAACAACACAGGTGAAATTGACTGCTTCTGGATATTTCTTAATTAAAGAAATTCCGAGTGCTCTGCCTCTGATCACAGTACAGCTCTGACAAAGCCAGTTTATAATACAGCTTTTGACATTCTGTTAAAACTCTTCTTACTCTTAAATTAGGATAAAATAGGTTCCAATATCATTTCAAGAAATTGCATGCTCTGCTGAAGCTCTGTGCAATCTACAAGGGGATGGTCACAAACAGGAAAGAAGTGGAGCACAGATACCACGTCAGGCTGCAAAAGGTTACAGCAGGTACAGGGCTACACCATGACCCAGTAAAAAACTCCTCATACAAGCCTTTGAAAATTAAGGAAACAGAGCTTTTGGTGCATGGAGTTACAAGCACAGTGAAACAATGAGGGAAATGTCATAAGCACGCTAATGATGTGTAAATGCAATGCAAATAAAAAAGAGGGAAGAGACAACAAAAGGCCAAGAACTGGCTGCCACATTACATTGCCCAATTTGCTTGTTTGCCTCTACTGAGATCTCTACAATGACTTGCACAAGTGCTGTTTTATGTGTTCTACCACATATTTCTTTCCCTAACATCAGAAGAGATAGAAACATAAGAAAAACTTAAAAGCAAAAAGGAAAGTTTTGTCTCATTCCCTTAATCAGGAAATAACTGTGGTGATTTTTATATGAACCAAGGGTATTTCAACACAAAATACCAGAATAAGTGTTCATAAGCCAACTACCCCATCCTTTACTTCCCCAGCATCTCTTTTCAAGTGTAAAACTAAAATGAAACTGTTCAAAAGGCATTTTTAAATGGCTTTATATAATACCTAAATCTTTCACGTGCAGGCATTTGAAGAATTTAGAGTTCAGTTTACTTAATCTCTACTTCTAGGTGTAGCTCATGTTTGATATATTTAAAGCCTCTCATCGGCACGGAGTAGGACACTAACTTACCGTTCTCGCTCTCCGGTTTCTATCAGCTTTTGGTTAATGGTTGCTCTCATCTGGGCATCTTTATTCATTTTGGAAATCTGGGTTTTCCACAAACCTGCACAGAGAGCAGAGGAGAGTTTCGACAATCGCTTGTATCACTCCTACAACACAAAGAAGTCACCGAGGCAGAATGACACGCCGCGCTGTCCCCAGTGACACACCCCCGCGGTCAATGACCGGAGCGCCAGCCTGTGGCCAGCTCATAGCGTGGAGCCCCCCACGGCTGCCCCAGCTCACCGGGCCGCCCGCGCGGGCGCGGCCCCCCCTTGCCGGGCGCAGCCTCCCCGCAGCCCGGCCCGCCCTCCCGGTGCCTGTCCCGACCGGCGGCGCCCCCGCGGAGCGCGACGCCCCAGATCGGAGCGGGGCAGGGCCCGGTGCCGGAGCGCTCCCCCCTCACCCTCCGCAGCGCCGCCGCTCCGGGACCGCAGGAGGCGGAGCGGCCGGGCCGTACGCACAACGGGCCACCCGCCCCTGCCGCGCGGGCACCGCCGGGAAATATAGTTCGGGCTCGGCGACTACAGCTCCCGGCGCGCCACGGGTTGCCGGCCGCCGCCGTACCCGAACTACGACTCCCAGTAAGCCCCGCGGCTCCCGCGCACCCCCTTCCCGTGGAGCTCTGCGGCGGCTCCCGCGCGTTCCCCGCGGCCCGCGGAGCTGGCGACGCTTTCCGAAGTTTGCCCGGAGCCGCGGGATGGCGGGCGCCGCCCACTGCTCTCTGCAGGCCAAGCGCCTGCTCCTGGACCCCAAGTTCGAGGGGTACAAGCTGTCGCTGGAGCCGCTGGCCTGCTACCAGCTGGGGCTGGACGCGGGTGAGCAGCGGGTGCGGGGCGGGCGCGGGGCTGATCCCGCCGGGGGCTGATCCCGCCGGGCATCCCTTGGGCAGTGCGGGTGGCCTGATCCGCCTGCCTTTCCCTTCGTCCCCCCAGCGGTGCGGCGCGGCCCGGCAGTGGCCCTGGGTGCAGGTGCCTCGAGCTGGGACAGCCCGGCCCGCTGGAGCCCCGTGGGGGCTCAAGGGACCGATCGGCTTCTCTCGGTATAAGTGGCTGCGGTTTGGCAGTGGTGTCCCTTCTCCCCCTCAGCCTCGGGTGGGTTCATGGTGGGCCGAGGTCTCTGTCAGATCTCTGCCTCGCAGCTCCCTGCCTCTGAAAGTTTGGGCTTAGTTTCTAAATGAGTAAGGAAAGCCTTGTGCTAAATCTGATCTTGGTTTGTGCAGACGAGCTGAGGCTGATAACCACCTGAGGTAGTTCAGAGTGGAGTGTAAACGGAGAATCTGTGATTTAGATAAATGTGAAATTAATATCTTATACGAACTTCAGCAAATTAGCTGTTTTTCTTTCTTGCTCTGCCCACAGTTCAGAGGTGGATCCTCAGGCTGTACATTCCATGCCCTGCTTTCTCTGCAAAGCATCATCAGTATTTGAGATGCTGCTCCATTAATAGGCTAATTCACTGAGGAGTACATTAGTGCTAAGTCCTGTTGAATATGTGCCTGCAACATGCCCCTTGAAATCTCTCAGCACTCTGCATTTATTGATTCGTGAAATTTAGGTCTTTTGTAAGGTGGATGAATTAGTTTTCTTTTTTTTTTTTTTATAATGCTGAGACTGTAATATACTAATTGCTGTCTCTATGTATTTACTGGGCAATATACCTGTCTACAGAGTTACCCATTATATGTTACTTTAGCTTTGTGTTGAATACATTGTATCAGTAGTGGACCGGAAAGGTATGTTTGCCATGCTGAATTGTCAGCAGTAAGATGGAAGTTGCGGGTAAATTGTGTATTGAAGGACAAGGGAACAAACCGAGGTGGTACTGTCTGTGGTAGGAGTGGAAAATCTAATGAGTAACTTTTTTATTATGTATTTTGACAATTTTACTGTAAGACTGATTTAGGTGTCACCTTTCAAAAGAGTCCAAATGTAGTTGTGTGGAGGCGTGCTACAGTTGTGTCAAAGGTGACAATGGCGTAGCGTAGGTGCAGTCTTTTAGTTTGTCCCTTATTTGATGTTCTGCCTATGGTCAAACAAGCTTTGTGGTTCTTGGATAGTCAGTTGTGCACCTGTTCTAAAGTGTGAGGATTACAGGTTTTCATTATAATACACAAACGATGGAGTTGCTAATGGACAGGTGGATCTACTCAGTTCTTGTTCATTCAGACATTTTAAATAATAGTTACAGTAACTGGTGTGATAGAGGATTGGTAGGTGTGACTGTATTTTCTTTCCCCATTTCCTACAGCAGAAAAACCCTGACTCATTTTGGTCTAACTTACTTGTCTGTCCTACGGACTCGTTAATATTAACTGACTTATTCTGTTCTCTGTGTGCGTATGTATATATAAATACAGATATAGGTCCTCTGGACAGTGGAAAGGTTTTGCTGTTGTTGTGTTTGGAAATTAGTAGCAGGAAGTATATCAGACCTTATAGCTGTCTTCTAGATGTTTTGTTTTCAGCCTGCTCTTAGGCCATCTAGCTGCCTCTTCCTCCTTTATTCTTTTTTTTCTGCTTCTTTCAAGGCAGTTTCTTCACAGTGCAGAGGTGTTCTGTACCTGAACTTTTTATTTCCCGGTGTCAGTGGTCTACACATGTGTTGAATTGAGAGTATCCTTCCAAAACTTGGGTTTTATGTTGTACAAGAACAATTGGCCGAGTTGTAGAGACCATGAATAATGTGGAGGCTGTGACTTTTTCAAATTGTGGCATGTGAGAAGAAACTAATATTGTATGAGAAGCCCAAGAATTTCTACTTTCCAGCACATTTGTGAGCAGATTCAAAGCCTCTGGAACATGATGAACTTGGTAGTTTGTGGGTTATTAAAGTAATAATTGTCACTGTGTGAAAAGTTTGATTCGATTTCCTCAAAGTGAGACTGAATACAAAAGCTAAGAGTTTTATCTCAGCTGTAGTTGAAGTATTTATGCAGTGTTATTACAAACTTACATATTAAGTTTTAGAGTGTCAATCTTTTTTGTCAATATTTGTATCTGTGTTTTTATGCTTATCTATTTTTATTAATTTCACTGCTAAGTATAAAATAAAATAAAATTGCCACATGGAATTGACGCAGGGTTCTACCACTGGAGCAGGCAGATAGCAGAATGTAGTACTGTGTGGCAACTTGTGGTGATTGTCATGCTTGTGTGGACTACAGTGAGCTTCGTTTTCTGACCATTGTGTTCAACTTAGTATTCAGTTCTAATTTGCCTTCAGCTGTCAAACTGTGGTTGCCAGGAATTTGCTGTTGTCAGATGTGCAACTGACACCGAAATAAATTTTTAAAAAATTGTTTATTTATTTGATCTGTGGTACAAGAGAATTTTCTAGTGAATTTCTTAAAATGTATGATCACAGAGAAGAAGAATGGGGGAATTCCTTCCCCTTTAAATACTATGATTTGCATGTGTGGCAGTTTGAGCCACATTAGAAATCCAAAAAATCCAATTTTCAGGCTTCTCCACCCCCTCCCACAATTTGTGCCAACACCAAAGAGAAACTTTCAGGCCAGAGGCTTCTATAGGGGAAGGGGGAAGTATATACATTTATTTACACAAATAAATGCTATACAAGCTAAAGACAACTACATATATATTACGTTTCTATCAACCAGTCCTTTCAAGCCCCTCCTTTAAGTTTAGTCCAGGAAAGAGCCTTTTCAAGGCTGGAAAGTAACCAGTCCCTCTGTGGGAGTGTTCTGGGCCTGAACACTCCCCCTCACCAAGTTCCAGTTGTTTTGTTGTAGTCTCTCCTTCTCATGAAGTCCGAGAAGATAGCTTTGAGTCCTTGCTCTCCTGCCGCTGTGTGATCTCTCTCTCTCATACCTTGGTTCGTAGGCTGCTGCAGTGTGGTTCTGCTTATCAAGCGTCCACATCCTGGCATGTGGATTTCTCCTCAGGTTTTCGGTTGTCCTGTGTGGCAGAGACATCCTCCGGGCCCCTTTCTCTCTCTCTGGGGGGGTCCGTCTCCAATTTCGCTTGGGACTCTTCTCCCGAGCGCCGGGCCTACCTCCATGGCCCGTCCACTTGGCTCAGCTTCAATGCTGAGCCTCTCCTCTGCGTTCCAGCGGAGGGAAAGGAAAGCCCCCCTCCACAGCTTAGCTGTAGAAAAGGAGGGGGGAGAAGGCTTGGCTGCAAAAGCCTGCCTCTCTCCTCTTACCTCAGGTCAGGTTCTGTGAGTCTCTTCCCTCACTGCACACACTCAAAATGCTGCCTCTAACTCTGCTCTGGCTTAGGCAGAGACGGGGGGCCGCAGGGCTCCCCTCTCCCCTCAGAGCGGGGGGGGGGAAGAAGGAGCCCAGCCACCCCCCGGCCTTCCACACCTACACGCAGCAGACACCAACAGCCCAAGTGCCAACACAGAACTTGCCAACCACTTCTGGTGCTGTGTATATATGATTTTTGAGCAGAAGCGAACAGCATGAGTGGTGATTGGCTCTTCAGGGAACACTGCCCTGGCACCCAATCACCTCTGAACCCCCTCTCTCGAGGGGGGGCCAATCTCAAACCATGACAACTTGTTCTTTTATTTCTTCCTTACTCCTACCCATTCTGCCCTAGTTAATTTTAAAGTTTCACAGTCATTTCTTGTCTCATCTCTCATCCTGGTAACATATTTCAAGTCGTAATGAGTCACACTATTATGCCTTTAATTCCTAACTCCTCATCCTAAATTTTGTCTATCTTTCTCCTTACTTTTTTTTTAAATTTATTTCCATAACTTATTTTCAAACACTTTCTTTGCATTGAGCTTTGTAATGAAGTTTTATGGAGCAAAAGGCACTGATATGTTTCAAACACTTGGATATTTTCATTTTCCATTTTCATTTGAAAAATTAAATATAGAAAAAAGTCTTTAATGTATGGGAATTAGTAAGAAATTGTGAGCTCTTGTGACATTTACAGCTGTAGTTCAGAAAGGTTTGTGTCTCAGGCATGTGTGTATGTTTTGTTGTACTTTCATTTCTTGAGGAAAAAAAAGATAATGTAGAGGCAGGTTCTGCCTTGGAACTGCTGTTAAAGAAAATGATTCTTGCAGCTGGCAAGTCAGCTTTTAAATCGAGGCATTGCTATAGTGATACTTTAACAAATGCCTCGCTAGTTTTTGGATCTTGTTGAATTCACACCTGTGTAAATAACTTCATCAGGCAAAACCAGTTCGTTACATGGTGTCCGACAGCCTGTGCTTGTTTTCAGCAAGCTACGTGTTCATTAAACAGTATTTTTTTGTTTTGTCTATTAACATACTTATTGCAGTAGATTAAACAAGCCTTGTACTTTTACTCAATAACAACGAGATGACGCTGCCATTAACAATAAAAACATATTTTTTTAAATTAAAAAGAAAGCATAAATGCAGGGTTAGAAGGATCTTTGAATTCTGATACTAGAAAATAAACTATCTCTTCCACCAGTAGATCAGTGTGTATGAAATACAAAATTGCTTCCACTGGGTGGCATTGCAAAACAAGGCATGACATGCAAGCATATATTTGATGCCACAAAATATGCTGATATAATTACTTTGCATATTTTGCTGTATTGTAAAGTTGCTTTGGAGTATTCAGTAAAACATCTAAAAATGGAGGGGCTGTGGTAGGGGGGTGTGTCTGATGGCAAATGTAAAACTTCTCTATTCATTTAAAGTATAAGTTCCTTGATAGCGTTCTTTATTCAGAGAAGATGTGTGGTTTTTTGCAGTGCAGAGCAATAATGATTATAATATCCAGTTAGGAACTTTATTATAGCAGTTAGGTTAGGGATATGTTTCTTGGTTTTAGTAGTGCAGTTATTAGTTATTAGTGTATTTATCAGAAATTTGAAAGAGGCCATGTATCATTCTGTTGAATAGCTGCCTTTGATTGCTGCTTCTTAATTGAACCCAAACAGCTGAAGCTAGTGAATTAGTCTGACTCTTAAAAAGCAAATAAACAACAAAAAACTCCCACCCCAAAAACCCAAACAAAAACCCTAAAACAAAACAAACAACCGTCCCCCCAAATGAAGCAACAACAAATCAGTAAAGTCCTGACTGAAAACCAAATAAAAACCTGAAAAACTGTGTAACTGTGAGACTGAATAAGGTGATGATCTGATTGAAGTATTTCTTCTTTTCCATTTATATTAACTTATCTTTCTCTGAATTTACTTCATTAAAAGTCTTCGTTTCTTCTTTCTTTTGTCCTTTACTTTTTTTTTCACTCAGCTCTGTTGGTTTTCTCTTCTTTTTCCCAAGGACCATCAAGAAACCTTGAAGGCTGTAAAAAGGAAGGAATGAACTTCATCCTAGTGTAGAATCTCCTATAAACTATCTGAGCACATGGTATGTGATAGCAGATGGCAGCTGTGCACAGATTTCACTGATGACAGTATGGGTTTCAATTAATGGAGGATGGAATAGGTTCTTTAATTGCTTCATCTTGACATATATGGAACATATATGTGTGATACATTCTGAAAGCAGTTGATAAGCTCATTTGAAATGTTTCATGACAGGACAGTGTACCTTTGATTGGTTTCCTGGTTTAAAATCGCCTACAAATTGTATAGTCTCTGACTTCTCTTTATGTGGAATTAATTACATATTGCAATAATACAAGGGATTTGGATCTCCTGTTCCTGACCCCCCTTATTATTCAGGGCTTACTAGGACTACAGGCTGGAAAACCCAAGAAAAGAGAATTTATTCATGTTCTTCCAGCTTTCATAAAGTTCATCACATTACAATCAGCTAATCAATAGTATATTGTTCCCATAATTTTTGTGAAAAGTTATACATTCATCTAATTTGGACTATTTTTACTATTTGTATGTGTTTTAGTTGCAGTTCTGACAGGAGCAACATATCTAGGGAAGTGGGGAGGGAGAAGTGGTGAAAGGAAGCCTTACAATTTTAGGATTTTTATGCTAAAAATCTTTGTGTTTGTGCATATGTATTCTAATTTCAGAAGATCAGTTAATGTAGCTATGCACGAAATAGATGACATGCTTGGCTTCACTGAAAATAATTATCCTGGATTATATTTCTTTTGGTCTTTAATTGTTTACAGAATGTTCATGTCTTGTCATCTCTTGTCCTGTTGGGAAAAATATCTTATCATAAAGCTTGATTATATAAACAGCTTTAAAATGCACTTTCACAATATATTCTTCTAAGGTTTTTTACAGTGTAATTTACTGTAAAATATTCTAATTTAGTTAAAATAGAAATTGGAATGGGTAGCAGTCTTTGCCATTATGACAGGTGTATTTTCTTCTCACTCCTTTGTTGATATCCTAGCTTGTTTTGAAGGGCCATAGCTTGTGGAACAGTAATTTATTAATTGCAAAAGTACGGAAATCCTTCCTGTGTGGTGAATATGAATAATGATTTGAGCTGAGTGGAATTAATACTGCTGGTTTGCAAATATCAACAGTGATTAGGAGACTAATTGCTAATTATACTGTCATTTCGAAAGCATTTCGTATAGTATGACCGGATTTTTTATTAATCAGGCAGTATAAGCTTGCATAGTTTCCTAAAGCGACTTTTATGTTAATAGCCAGTGTCTCTAATGGGGTCAATTCTGAACCATCTAGTAGTGACTGTCTGATTGTTGGGTTTGTGATAGCTAGGCAGTGGCACTGATGGCACTGCTAAATGAACAGCTCTTTGCAGTAATTGGTGTTCTGACAGAGTAGAGTAAACTACTTCTGCTTCAGTAGGTTTTAAGTGGGTGCTATAGAAGAGTCTGAGAAATCTAAGATGAGTGCTGCTGCACAGAGTTGTGAGTGGTCCCTCTTATGGGGTGGAACGGAAGTGAAATGCTGGAAATATTTCCTTGCTCTGTTTTTCAGCAGAAAAGAGAAGAAAACAGAAGTTGGATGATTAGGAACTAAAATAACTGTGAACTGTTGCTATGAAAGGAATTAGCCTTGAGGTGCTTTCCCTGTTCTCTGGGCTTGAGTGCTAATCATCATGGACTGAGAGAGTTTACTTATAACTTTCTAAAGGATTTTGCTTGTTGTGTGAAGTTCAAGACAAATTTTCTGCAAGAAAGCTAAGGATCCTGGGATAACTAGTGGAGAGTGAAATGGAGTTCTGATCTATCTGAGACTATTTGCAGAAGTATGGACTAGACCTCTGCTAACGTATTTTAAGGTGTTGGGACTACAGCTGCTTGATCTCTGCATAGATAGGGAATAGGAAAAAAAGAGCTGCAGATAATTTAAATAAAAACCTGATTAGTCATTGAAAGATAACCCAGTTTTGATTACTGTGAGTTGAGTAGAGGTTTTCTGTTTGGAAAAAATCTTGCTCAGGTGGATGACTGTAGGTGGCATACTTCCTGCCTTGAAGAAGGTACTGTTCTAGTGAAGAGCCATTCTTTGCAGCCTCTTTCAATTAGAAAAACTTAGCCTGAAATTTTGATGTTATGTTGAACATTCCTGAAGATTTCAGCCTCAGTGGAAGTGCTAGGGACATAGGGGGTTTTTGGCTTTGATTTTTTTTTTTGGTTGTTATTTTTTTTAATTACCATGAATTAATACTGCTTTGTACTGTTTTAATCTTTTACCTTAAAAATGTTCATTTTCAGAATAAAAATGAACTTCGTTCAGAAATTAAGACTATGAAAGTCATGTAGTTATATGAAATATTTCTTTTACTTGCTATTTTCTGGAGTTACTATAGAGCAGAATTTTTTTTCCCTTACTGTACAAACCATGTACAAACTTAGAAGTTGGTTTTACATTGTTGTTGCATATGTGTTTCACCTTGTGAGGGTTATTGATAAACTGTAATTCAACACATGCTGGTAAGAGACAGGATAGGTGTATTGGGTTTGCATGGCAAGGTTTTGGTAGCAGGGGGGCTACAAGGGGCGGCTTCTGTGAGAAGCTGCTGGAAGCTTCCCCCATGTCCAGCACAGCTAATGCCAGCTCCTGGATGGACCTGCTGCTGACCAAGGATGAGCCCATCAGCCATGGTGGTAGCACCTCTGGCATAATGTATTTGAGAAGGGTAAAAATTGCTGTACAAGAGCAACCACAGCCAGAGAGAGGAATGAGACTGTGAGAGAAACAATTCTGCACACCCCAAGGTCAGTGAGGAAGGAGTGGGGAGGAGGCACTCCAGGTGCCAGAGCAGAGATCCCTCTGCAGCCTGTGGTGCAGACCATGGTGAGGATGCCCCTGCAGCCCATGGGGGTCCATGGTGGAACAGAGATCCATCTGCAGCCTATGGAGAACCCCATGCTGGAGCAAGTGGATGCACCCAAAGGAGGCTGTGATGCCATGGAAAGTCCGTGCTGGAGCAGGCTCCTGGTGGGATCTGTGAACTCAGGGGGAGAGGAGCCCATGCTGGGACAGGTTTGCTGGCAGGACCTGTGACCCCGTGGGGCACCCACGCTGGTGCAGTCTGTTCCTGAGGGACAGTGTCCTGTGGAAGGGACCCACTCTGGAGCAGTTTGTGAAGAACTGCAGGCTGTGGGAAAGACTCACATTAAAGGAGCTTATGAAGGACTGTCTCCTGTGGGAGGGACCCCATACTGGAGCAGGGGAAGAAAATGGGGAGGAAGGAGAAGCAGAGAGGTGTGATGAACTGACCGCAACCTCCATTCCCTGTCTCCCTGTGCCACTGGAGGAGAGGAGGGAGAGACCAATGGGAGTGAAATTGAGCCAGGGAAGAAGGGGGGGCGGGAATGTATTTTAAGATTTGGTTTTATTTCTCATTACCCTGCTCTGATTGGCAGTAAATTAAACTAATTTCCCCAAGTTGAGTATTTTTTGCCTGTGACAGTAATAGGTAAGTGATCTCTCCCTGTGTTCATCTTCACCCATGAGCCTTATGTTATATTTTCCTTTCCCTTGTCCAGCTGAGGAGGGAAATGATAGAATGACTTCAGAGGGCATCTGGCATCCAGCCAGGGTGAAGCCACCACGATAGACCACTGTAAATGGGAGGAGTTGTTACAGGATCAAAGCCAATGACTGCAGTGGCCTTCAGGGTGGATGACTTTCTTTCCAGCTTTATGGTGAAATTTTAAACTATGTATACGTAATTTTTTTTTTTTAAATAAAGCAGACCTATGGAATGAAAATGGAATCATTATTTTTAAATTATTAGTTTGAATTTTAAATTATTTATTTGTAAATAAGTAATTGTTAAAATAGTCTATTTTCCTTTCCCTCCAGCTGTAGCAGAAGTGCAACTTCATGATGATCAATATACCCTTGACCACATGCGTGCTTTTGGCATGTATAATTATCTTCACCTTGATTCCTGGTACCAGGATAATGTCTACTATGTTGATCAGTTTGGAAGGGTTATGAATCTGTCAGTGACTCTGGTAAGAATAAATTTTTTTTTTTAAATAATTGAATTTGAAAAGTTCCTTTGCTTTTCATAGAATATAGAAGCAGTTGGGGCATTTGGCAGACTCTTACTGAGGCAAAATAATCTTCCAGGACTTCTTCCAAATCTTTTGAACTCTTCTGGATTCCTAGTAAGAACATCTAAAAGAAAGGAACTTGCCAGGGAAAGCCTTCTGTGAACAGTGGCTTGTCACAATCTCATTTTTCGTGTTTTATCCTTGAGGTTGGTTAACCTTGGCTTGCTGCTGGATATCCGCCCAGGCAGTCTCTCACTCCCCACGTTCAACAAGATGGGGAGAAAATAAGACACAGAGGTTTGTGATATCTGCCTCACTTTTGTTTTCTGTGGGCTGCAGGGGGACAGCTGCAGGCAAACCTCTGCTCCCCACCAGTGTCTTGGCTGACAGGCTCAACTGTGCCTGATGGTGACTCCCATGGAGCCAGTTGGAAGTGGCTGTATGTGGCATGGAACAGCCCTGGCCCCTCCCCACTGAGGCCACCCCTGCAGGCCCCCCTTGCCTGCACAACACAGACACCCACTACATTCCTTTATTAGGAGGGCACTGTGTGTGTAAATTTATTTCTTAGCAGATAAAGGATTTTGCAACAGGCAGTAAATTGACATAGGAAATATTCTTCCTCAGAACCAATTTCAAGATAATGGCACTTGATTAATGTCCTGTCGCAAGTTTCAGTTCCACCTGAACTGGGAAATAAAACTGATTAAACTGTGAAATAAATAGGCACCATCTTGTGTCCTAATACAGAATACAGTGCTGTTTTGCAAAGGAAACGTTTGCATATGTATAAAAAGGAATGAGTGTTCAGACACATCAACAAGGTGTCACATTACAAATGTGCCTGGTCATATATTAGTCAAATGTATATTACAAGTAAGATTGGTTTTGGCCATGTATAGCTTACAATTAAAATTAATTTCAGTCTTCTTTCAAACAGAAAATTGAACAGGCTAACAAGTTCATCCTAAATCCAGAGTGAAAGAACACATAGGCTAACACATTATTTCCAGTTTTATTTCTTATTTTTATTGCAACTTTGATTCTAATATAACAGTGTGTTGGTTATCCATAAAGCATGAATTATCCTTGCAACTTAGGTGTTTAGAAAGATGTCATCTGTGAAGGCAAAAAGTGTTTATAATACCTTTCCACTTGCTCAAAATCACACATAATTGAAAAAAGAAAAGTGATCAACATGAGCAGTTTTTCAATGTTGGTTGATGAGTATTCCGGTGTTTTTTTTATACCAGCTTGAGGAAGTTGTTACCCTATTTTGCCTGGAAATGCTGTATAATAGCTTTAACATTCTGCTGTTACAGCTGTTGGATTTCTTTCATTCAATAAGAATCATTGATTGATACTTTGTTTTAAAGACCCAATGGGTAGAGTAGTGACAGGATTACTGAGCCGGGTTTTTTTGATTGGGCATTTTTTTGCATCTAATTCAACTTATTTGCTTGATGTTTGTAGTACTTGAATATAGCTGGAAAATACTCAAAGTTTTCTCCTCTAGCAGTTAAATACTTGGACTTGGTTTCTTGACCTTAAGCTCTTCTTGCAAAGACAACTTTGTTTCTTTTTTTGTTCAAATAATCAAATCAAGAAATTGTGGAAGGAACTCTTTTCACACTTAATTAAAACCCTAAGTGGTGTCTATATTTTTTGAATCATCTTTTTGTCATCTTTTTGAATTCCAAGAAGAAGTAGCTGTGGAATACTGTTTCCATAACTTTCAGTTAGCTCCGATTCAGAACGGTGCCACTAACTTTCTGTTAGTGGCACCAGACACAATGTGGGAATTCTGTTTAAAATAAATCAGAATAAGGAAGCAGATAAAGTAAAGAATAACAAAATCTTTTAGTGTTCTGTTTCAGGGTTTTAAATACTTGTCTCTATTATTCAGAGTGTAGGGTATGGACACTTTTTCACAGTTAGAGAGATGTGTCAAATGCCTAGGTATTTTGATTTTTCATATAAAGTTTTGTATTTGTTATTGCTATTTTGTGGGAATTGCCATATGACTTATTTTTTAATTTTTCCTTTTTTTTTTGGTCTATTTTGTCTTTTCTCATTCCCTGTCTTTTCCTTGGAAAATTCATTTTCATTTTAAATCCTTTATACAATATCACATGTTTTTACGCTAAGTATCATGCTTTAACCCCAGCTGAAAACTAAGCACCATGAAGCTGCTTGCTTACTCCCCCTCTTCCATCCCCAGTAGGATGGGAAGGAGAACTAGAAGAAAGGTAAAATCCTTGAGATAAGAACAGTTTAGCAATTAACATAAAGTAAAATTTAATAATAATAATAACAACAAAAATAATAATGAAAAGGATGGTAGCAAAATGAGAGAAATAAACCCCAAGGAAAAGCAAGTGATGAACAGTACAGTTGCTCCCCACCTGCTGACCGATGCCCAGCCCATCCCTGAGCAGCGATTGGTCCCTGCTGGGCAGTTCCCCTGGGTTTATGTGCTGAGCATTATGCCATATGGTAGGGAATATCCCTTTGGCCAGTTGGGGTCAGCTGTCCTGGCCATGTTGTCTCCATTTCTTGTGTACCTCCTCATGGGCAGAGCATAGGAAACTGAAAAGTCTTTGACTTGGGGAAAGCGCTGCTTAGCAACAACCGAAACATGAGTGTGTTATCAACATTATTCTCATACTAGATCCAGAACAAAGCATTAATATGAAAATTACCTCTATCCCAGCCGAAACCAGGACAGTATGACAAACTTTATGTGTCTTTGGAACAATACAATTTCTTAATGCAACTTAAAAAATCGAGGTCTTACAGGCACACCAAAGAAACTAAGTAAAATATCACTACTTAACTATGAAGGTAAGGCATGCTTACTTAGATGGGACCTGACATGAGGGAGTCAGGAACAGTAGAGGGACTTTTTAAGCCTGTATCTTACGTCTTGCCTTGTACCTGCACAGCCTGACTTGGTCTGCCTGACTTTGCCTGTGGAGGAACCATTTGCTCAGAATTTCTACACAAACTTGAAACCTGGACTTCTTCAAAGGCTCAAGCTCAGGGTTAGTGTCATAGGCAGGTGAGGCAAATGAACTGCTTAAAGCAAAGGGGTAGTTGTAATAGTGAAGGCACCCAGATGAAATCTGGAATAGATGAATGGAACGACAGAGGCCAAAAGGAAGCAGAGTACACTGTCAAGAAGTATAGAAGTGGGCAAAGCGAGAATTAAGTCCAATGCAAAAGGTAAGAAAGAGACTGGAGAGTGAAAAATAGTTAAACAAAGGAAGAATCTTCGTAGGAATTGAAGAGAGATGAAAAACTGAGACTGACAAGAAGCTGTACCTAGTTTTTTCTTAAAGAAACCGTGTTGCTGCCATTTAAACCTAATTGCAGTGAGTAAACCTGACTTCTGCTAAAATTGCAGTAGTTGTTTAAGCCAGGTCTTGCTAGTAAAATACATGACTATAGAATGTCACCATCCCCTCATATTTCTGAAGTAGGGAATTACTATTAACGCCAGTTAACAAGGTGGTAAACAAAGAAACAGTAAGTTAAAAAGCAAATCTGACACAGAAGGGTTTTGAGGGCAGGTTTTGTTTCAGCTTGAAGGAAGTCCATCCTTTTCATCATCAGAATGAGATTAAAAACTGTTCTAATAAATGCCTAGGGTTAAATAATTGTACAAAAAGGTTGTGAATAAGAGCATTTCCTTTCTTGCCTATTGAGAGAAAGGCTTTGTAGTGAAGATTATTTTTCATTTTTTCAGATTTATTGAGTTCTGAAATTCCCATTCAATGCTGATAAATCTGATGTGAGCTTTGAGTAGATAATTCTTTTTCTAATTGCATCCAAAACTCTTTGAAGCTTACTGTTAAGATTCACTTGAAGGCTAACAAACATGTGGTCTTCTGTAATGTTATGTAATATAACCCTGTAAATCACTGTTAAGAGGAATGTTGCTTCTTATTTTCATGATAAGATACATGGGATTTTGACTTTTTTTTTTCCTAGGCCAGTAGTCATTGCTAGTTACCATGGAACAACTTCATTGTAGAAAAGACTCCTTTCAGTGAAATCTAAAAATTAAGTAAAATATGAGGAAGCCAAAATTCTTGATATCTAGTGTTTGTGTGATATTTTTTTGGGTTGCGGGTTTGGTCTGTTTGCTTTTTTTTTCATTTTAATTCTTTCATTCTCCCCTACTGAATGTGTTAAAATCATTAGAATAGTTCAAGAGGTGTAGTGATACAACTGAATCTACAAACAGACCCTGAATGCTTCCAATAATTAAAAATCAAATTTGCATATTTTCCATTGCAGGTTTCATAACCTTTATGTAGCACACAGTAATCTCTAATATGAATTCAAGTAGGCCCAAAAGTCAAGTAGGCTATCTGCTTGTCATCTGGTCTTTTTTTCCTGTTGCTTATTAAAATGGTACTTACCCAAATCCAATTTCTCTTGCTTACCTTTGAACGTGTTAAATGCACATCTGATGTTACTAACATCTGGAAAGTATGAAGGATTTGAAATCCCCTCATATGCTGGATTCTCAACAAATGAGACCATGGCGTGCTTTGCATTCACAAGTGTGCTCTTTCTGTATCGTATGCACGTACCCAAGTGCAAAGTACTCTTTTAGAGATGGTGATTTGTATGTATATTTTTGACTGCTTATTTCACAGAGCAGAATAAGTGAGTTTCTTTTGCTAGAAGTAGATATGTATACAGATTATTCCCACCTCCCCCAAGCTACTGATAGTTTGAGAGAAAATAGAGGGACAGAAGATGATTAGCCAATTTGCAGCTGAATTTAGTTTGTTATGTTTTCACTGCTATTTCTTAGCCTCATGCCTTATTAAATTAAGGATGAGCCTGAGACTAAGACATATTTTGTGTGGCAAAAGTAATTACTTGTTTCCCCCCCCAGGTTTTCAATACAAAAATATTCTTCTGTTTGTGCTTCCTTTTGCATACTTGTAAATATGTTCAAAACTGTCCCTGTAATATTTTTCAAATTCTGTTTTTCTATTTTTACAAATATACTTCTACTTAAATATATTTTTTTTGTGGCACTAATGCAGATTTTAGTAACAAGGGAAGAATTTCCCTCTTGTTAAGCAGAGGTTTCTGATTTGTGGAGCTTCAAAAATAGTTGTAGATCAACTGACTGGAAATGAACCTAGTGAAATAAAACAGAAAATTGTTTAGTTAGCTCTATGACCACTAGTTATGTTCTCAACATAGTCTATTTGTTGTTGGATTAAAAAGATAAATTGGATTTATAAAGGGAAATATTAATCTTTAAAGGCCAATCAGGGAGTTGTTTTTTTCTCCAGAGTTGACTTTATTTGTTCAAATACAAGTGGTACACTAGCTTGTAAAATATGTATGAAACCCATTGCATCTAATTTTGTTTCATTTATGATACATATACATATATATATATATAAAACTGTCTATGAGATGAGGGGAAAGGACAATAACTTAGTGAGAAATGTTTGTCTAAGATATAGAAAAGACACAACAAGAATTCCTTTGTTTTCTTATCACTGGAAGACCTATTTGACAACTTCAAATCAGATCCTGAAGTCTGTGAATCAGTGAAAGGGACAAGGTGCTGAATATGGTATGGAGTTTATTTTAGAATTATAGAACAACCCAGATTGGAAGGGATCTCAAAAGATCATAGATTTCATGGCAAAAGGAGCCTAGATGAGATTATTTATCACCCTGTCCAGTTACATCTTGAAAACCTCCAGTGAGGGAGATTCTACCATGTCACTGATGAGGTTGTTCCAGTCACAGATTGTGCTTGTAAAAAAATTCTCTTATGTCTAGATGAAACTTCTCCTGGTGCACCCACACAGATCCTGGCCTGTACTGGGCTCTTTAGTTGTTCCAATCCAGGTGCAGGACCTTGCACTCGTCTTTGCTTATCTTTGCAATGTTCTTGCTATCCCACTCCTCCAGGCTGGCTGGCTCGCTGTGCCAGATGGCTCTCCCTTATAACATGTCTATGTCACCACCTGGTTTTGCATCATCAGCAAATGTGGTGAGGGTGCTTTCAATCCCGTCATCCAGATAATTTATGAAGATGTTCAACAGTGTGGGGCCTGGTATCAATCCTTGAGGGACCCCACTTGTGACAGACTTCCAGCCCATTTTATTTAACAGCTGATTAGTTCAGTTGAAAAACCTCAAGCAATTAAGTTCTATTTCATTTATTTGAAAGATTGTAGAGATGTGACTGTGATGTTACTGAATCTTCAGTTTGCTTCTTATATTTTTCTGTGAGAATATTTTATTTTTGCTCTTAATACTGCAGCCTGATCAACATTATGAGTAGCAGATCAAGCTGTATTGCTGATTAAGGATGTCCTGACTGTTTTTTTTTAAACTGTGATGCCAAGTTCTTTTTAAATCATAAAGATTTTGTCAGGTTTTTTTCCTCAACAAGCCTCTTGGGTATTCAGAGATTACTTCAACACAAAAAATGTAGGTAAATCTTAGTCCTAAGAAGGCAGTGGCATTGCTGGCATTCCTTGAACCAAATAATGAGCAGAGTTACAAAGCCTTACTCAGCAGAGAAGGAGCTGTATGTGAGAGTGAAGGCACAAGATAAAGAATAATCCCTAAAAGATACCCTGGAAGACATACTGCTGTACTTAATGAAAATAGTTGGAAATCCAGTTTTCAGCAGGAAAGCCATTTTTTCTGTTAGAATTAGCAAGAAATTAAGAACACATCACAAGACTAAAGCAGGACTTCTGAGAACAATTACTGGAAATAAAGATGAAATTGGTTATCTAACATTCATTTTGCACTATTATTGAATCAGGCTGTTTTGTGTAAAGATAATACAGTAGGAAATACTGGATTTTTTTTTTAAGTACAGTGGTATGTATAATTTTTTAAAAATCTGCATATCTTTATTGTTCACTGCAAAATCACATCATCTGTGCAATTTGTTCACTATAGTGTCTGTTTATTCATGCTCAAAAACTATCTGTAGTTTTGCTTAAGAAAGATTGCTGTGTGCCACTGCAAGAGAATGCTAAATAAAGTTATCCTGATGGGTAGTAGAATCACAGAATTGTTTGGATTGAAAAAGACCTTTAGTATAGAGTAGAATGAATCACCAAGCACTGCCAACTCCACCACTAAAGCATGTCCCTAAATGCCACGTCCACATGTCTTTTAAATACCTCCAGGGATGGTGACTCCATGAACTTCCCTGGGCAGCCTGTTCCAATGCTTGACAACCCTTTTGGTGAGGAAGTTTTTCCTAATACTCAATCTAAACCTCTACTGGCACAACTTGAGGCTGCTTCCTCTTGTCCTGTCACTTACTGGAGAAAAGACTGACCCGCTCCTGGCTACAGCATCCTTTCAGGTAGTTGTAGAGACCAATAGGGTCTCCTCTAAGCCCCCTTTTCTCCAGACTAAACACCCCCACCTCCTTCAGCTGCTCCTCATAAGACTTGTGCTCCAGAACCTTCACCAGCTCTGTTGTTCTTTGCTGGATGTGGTCCAGCACCTCAGGCTTGTTTCTTGTAGTGAGGGGCCCAAAACTGAACACAGATACAGCCTCACCTGTGCTGAGTACAGGGAAACAATCACTGCCCTGATCCTACTGGCCACACTATTTCTGATACAGGTCAGGATGTCATTGGCCTTCTTGGCCACCTGAGCACACTGCTGGCTTATGTTCAGCAGCTGTAGACCAGCATCCCCATGTCTTTTTCCACTGGGCTGCTTTCCAACTACTCTTCCCCAAGTGAATTTATTTTTAAGTCTCCGCATTTTTACTGGAACTAGAATTATATGAGGTAAGTGATTAATTATATGGGAATGCTAGGGGAAAAGAAATGAAAAGCCTTGATTTAATGCAAAATATAATTAATGCTGTAAAATAGAAAGAAAAAAAAAGAGTGCTGAAATATCAATTAGGGAACGCTCACAGAAACCAATTTATTGAAATTCCACCCCCTTTTCCACATATGTGGGAATTACCCTTGCTAGCCACTTCATTCCAAAAATGCTTAATGGCACAAAGAAGCTGGTACATTGCTGCTGAGATTTGGTATTCTTAATTTGTCTGTAATATTAACTGAAACTAATAAATACCTCACTGACTCTTAGTTCATGCCTGTTTGTTTATAGGACACTGCTCTACAAAAACCAAGAGAAGTTTTCAGGCTGCCTTCAGACTTGACTGCGTGTGATAATCGCCTTTGTGCCTCGATACACTTCTCATCCCCCACACAGGTGACCCTTTCTGATGGTACAGGAAGACTGTATTTAATTAAATCAGGCAAACGTGGAAACAGTGCATCTGAAAAGTGGGAGGTGAGTCCTGCAATAACATATTTAGGAGTTGTATGTCTACCAAGTAATTCTTATTGTCGCATTTCTTATGAGAATTGCATGTATGTAATGTGTGAAGAATTAAGCTTTAAATCATAACTCTGTATCACTGATACAGAAATGTGTTCTAAATTACTAAATGATTTCTTTATAAACAAAATACCTGAAATTCAAGTTTTTGAAAGGGAACAGCCTTTTGACTGAAGAGGAATCTAAGTAAAAGTGAATGTTTCTAAAAGGTGGTTAGGTGCTTATCTAGCTAAACTTTTTCTAAAAAACATTTCTCCTTCCTTTCTCCATTCATATGTGTCTGTCCAGGATTCTCCCCCCACTTTTCACCTCTTATTGTTTAATCTTTCCATTGGCCCATGGAATAATATATTTTTTTTTTAAGTTTGAAATTATTCTCAACCAAGCTAAAAACTACTTTCATTTTTTAAGTTACAAGATTTCTGGTCTACATGATGTTTTTCTCTGTGGATGTAATTGTGCTTGAAATACTCACCATTTAATTTGCCTCATTTTAAAAATACATCTACAAAGACTAGAATAAAACTTGAACAAAAGTGCCGATTAGAAGCTTTGATAAGTAACCCTGAGGGTTACTTTAAAAGTAGGTATAGTGTTTAAGCAATATTATTTCCACCTCTCTCACAGGGCTCGTTCTTCATAACGTGTACTTAGCTCTGGAAAATAATTGGTGCTTAAAATTTTTATTTAAAATTGTTGATTGTAACTGAAGTATGTTTTTATGTTTCTTATGAAAATTATTTACATAATTCTTTTAAGGAGTCTTGGTAAGTAGCATTTTTTTTTATATCCATATCAAAGTAATCTCTACATTAATAATGGTATTTGTTATCCTCCTTGGACACAACAAATATAAGTAAGTTACATTCCTGCCTGAAACTGTGAGTCTCCTGTTCAGCCGTGCACTCCTCTTTGTTCATGAAAAACAAATCTGTTATAAAGTGCCTGCATTTTGCATCTATTTTCTTAATTAGAGGGAAGTTTCCTAAGTAATCAAGGATGTTCTACTATTGGCAGAAATACAGGTGTATATAGTGAAGTGGAAGATTTCAGGATGATGGATTAGCTCCTTTCCCTACACTTTTTGAGAGTTCAGTAAAGGAAATTGGGTCATCCTGTTCTTTGGATGCTTGGTAATAAATACCAACTGGTTTTTATTCTGTTCTGTATGAGAATGCTGATACATTGGAGTTACAAGTTACATTGGAGTTGTCAGTGTAACAAAAACACGAGCTTTATATGTTGAGGTTCTGTCATCATTTATATTGATTTCCTGAGTTTGTAGAGCACCCAGTGGTTTTTCTGAATGGATACTTTTTTGAGAAAAGCTGAAATACATAGTTTCTAGAATTAAAACTTCCTGTTATATGTACCAAATGCTAAATATCTTGTACTACAAAATGCAGAGTCCTTCTGTGTTTAGTTATTTCATGTTTACAGTGGTGCTTATTAGCCTTTCAATATGGCAGTAATACTTATCTAGTCGGACTGTCAGATATTGGATGGACTTTTCCTATCTGTATATATAAATAAAAATTAAAAGAATTCTAACCTCAGCTTCTTCTAAACATGAATATTATACTCCTTAATTTCATTATAGGTTTTTCTTTTTTACTCTCCTTCGTAGTACTTCATAAATAAGGAGAATGGAATCTCTTTGCAAAAGATAGTAGCCAAATAAAGAGACTCCTCCTCCCCTTATTTTTGATGATTAAACAGTGGCAGTGATGCACTGGACCTTTTTATCTTCATGTTTGCACATGTCAAGGTCTACAAAGATTTTCACAATGTTGGGGTGTCCAGAGAAGCAGTGAGGGCCTTGGGGAAATGCTTCCATTTTCATCTTGAGCGTGAGACTGTTTCCCCAGTTGATAGACAGTGTTTATGGATCCCGTTGTGCTCAGGATCCATATGGATCAGTTGTACCTCCACATATGTGGTAGTAAACAGCTGTAATGCAGATGGGTTTGGGGATCTTTGTGCTTTGCTTAATAGACCCTTATAATGATTGTATAATATAAACAATAATAACTAAAAACATTTGAAAATAGTATTTTGACAGTCACAGAAGGAGGAGCCAGAAATGTGTGACATTCATGGATTCATATTGGCAGAGAGGTTTGTGGGAGGCAAACTGCTACTCATTTGATGTTCACTGAAACCTTTCACTGCTTCCTGTGAAAGATCAGGGCTTCCAGGTTTAACTATCTGACTTTTTTCTACATTTTTCTCTTCTAGATTCTGTTTAATGAAGAACTAGGGAGTCCATTTATTACAGCACACAGTGTTTCATTTGTAAAATCTGATATAAATTCACTAGCTGTGCTGCTGCTTAGGGTAGAAAAAGATGAATTGGACACAAAAGGAAGCGGATTTCATGTTACCTTGGAATGGGTTACGATTGCAGAGATAAGCAAAGAGGGTAAGTGTTTTATATTACTGGTGATTAATGTTTAAAAAAAATAAAAATCATGCTTTTATTTTTTGTCTTAGAAGTTGCTTTTCCACAACTGCTGATATTTCTTTTCCCCACAACTTCAATTTAGATTTTCCATGGGTAATTTTTTCTTAAATTTTGGGATCAAGCTATTGGTTGTAGACCTAAATTCTGACAGACATTTGGAAAGCAGGAAGAAGTAAAGTTTTATGTATATGTGGTGAAGATAATTAGAAAACAAGATAGAACTTTACTTTGATGTTATGAAATGGAATTTCATTTTAGATTGGTCTTGTAAAATCAAGGTTATACAAAACTATTTCTAACTAATCTCTGTTGTACTTTTCAAAATGTTGTACAGCTGGATATGGGTCTTTGGTTATGGATTTTCTTGGTGTTTTTGTAGCTTCCAATTAATGACATAGTGGGATTGGAATTAGTATGAGATAAATATAACAGCTGTAACATAAAAAAAATAAATGCTGCATATTCTAGGTTTTCCTGCATTAAGAGTATGAAGTTATTATGTTAATTTTAGAGCTACACATTAAAAACATATTAGTTAGTGTATTAATACCTGTTAATATATTATCCTAATAAAGTTTGGCAAATGGTACTTCATATGTTCAATATAGCCATATATACATACATTAATATCATGATTTACATAAAGGATGCAAGACCCTATGCTTCACTGTCTGATTTAAAGATGCATGGATTAAATTAATATACCTTCTTGGCAAGACTGTGATATGGTCTTGCTCATTATCTTCCAAGAAGTATAATTCTGATACCAATAGAAAAAAGATCTTTAAATACTTGGAACTAAAGCAGTTGATTGCATCCTGTGGTGTTAATAGTCACGTTACTCAATCTCCTACATATATTGTAGAAATAGAATGGAATGGAATGGAATGGAATGGAATAGAATAGAATAGAATAGAATATTTCAGTTGGAAGTGACCTACAACAATCATCTAGTCCAACTGCCTGACCAATTAACAGGTGACCAAAAGTTAAAGCGTCTTGTCAAGGGCATTGTCCAAATGCCTCTTGGGGCATCAACAGACAGACTTGGGGCTGTCTAGGGAACCTGTTGCAGTGTTTAAACACCCTCTCATTAAAGAAGTGCTTCCTAATGCCCAGTCTGAACTTCATCTGGTGCAGCTTTGAACCATTCCCACACATCCTGTCACTGGATACCAGGAAGAAGAGCTTAGCATTTTGCTCTCCACTCTTGCTCCTTAGGAAGGCTGTAGAGAGCAATGAGGTGGCCCCTCAGTCTCATTTTTTGCAAACTAGACAAGCCTGAAGTCCTCACCCACTCTTCATAGGATATTCCTTACAGCCCTTTCACCAGGTGTGCTGCCCTCAGTGACTTTATCTATGTTTTCTGCTATTGAAATCTTGGGTGATGCCAATATACCTCAGAGAGACAGAAAGCCACACGAGACTGACTGCCTTATGCTTTCGTGGCCAGCTCAACAAGAAGAAGAAACCTCTGAACATCACTGGTTATAACTTAGAAGAAAAACTAAGTCAGTAACACGGTCAGTCTAAACTAAGACTGTTGCTTGGTGAAAGGAGTAACACAAATTTGTATTATTTTGTCTAATACTGTACATTTTCATGAACAAATTCTTTTTAACAATGTGGGTTTTATAACTTATGACAAATACTCAGGGAATCCATAGACGTGGATTTAAAAATCTTTCAAAAAGTTTTGCCAGTTTTCCAGCATTTCCAAGAAACAGACAAAATTTTTGAGATTATTGTCAGTAGAGATGTAAATAACAAGATTCAAAGCAAACTGAAGAGAAAAATAAGTTTTGAGTTAATTTAAATAAACAACTCAAAAATCAGACTGATGTATGAACCAGTCTCCAAGATAAAACTGTTTTGAGGAATTACAATTCTTTTCATCCTCTTTCATCAGTAGTCAATTGCTATGCCTAACTTTTCTTGAAACTTTGCCTGTGGGTGCAGTTTATCAAATCATATTTTAGTAAGAGTAAGTAGTTAATCAACAAGCCATTTCTCAAATTGCCAAAATCTGTGATTCATCAAAGCAAAGCCTTAAAACATAGTTATGTCTCTTGGCACTAAAAACTGTGAGAGTCTCTACCATGTCTGGTTGGCCAGACAAAGTAATCACACCCACCACTATTGTATTACCTAAGAACAAAAAAAAATGGAAGTATGAAAATAAATCAGAATGGAGGGAGTGGTTAGGTCTGTTCACATCTTGTGTAGTACCTCAGAGGACTGTAACAAAGGTATACCCTTTCAAACTTTATTTCCTTCAGTTAACGAATGTTTTAGGAATCCTCACTGTAAAAGCTTGAAATGAAGAGCCACCTTGCTGCTTTATCAGGCTAAGAAAATGTGACGTTAGCTTTCTTCTGACCTTCTCTACAAGAAAAATCATTCAGTATAAACTTACCAGAAAGATTATAAAGACTTACTTAAAACTTTTTGAAGTTCTAATGATTGATTAAAAATACTCTGCAAAGTTTTTGTCACACAACGGTAAGTTGTGAGATTGTAATGCCTTTTAACCAGTGAGCAAATGCTGTAGGAGAGATGTACAAACTAATTTTTTGTTTCAGTGTATAGTTAGATTCTGTTAGTTAAAACAGCTTATTCACAGAGTGGTTAACTTCCCACTGCAACAAAAACATGCTCCTTTTGGTTATGTATCTAAGCCAAAGTAATTTGTTAATGTTTTAAAGCATGTTACCCTCTTGCTTGGAGTCTTCTGATTATGTGGATCTCTTACTCTGTCTCTAATTAGAATGGTTGAATCTCTTCAATTAATGCTGCCCTCCCTCCAGTCCAACCAAAGCTTCTAAGAAAAAGAGTGGTACTTTAATTAACACCATTAATTGAATTGGTTACTAACCTTTAATCCACTTCTTGCTTAGCAAAGAAGGTAACCAGTTGAAAGGATTTAAATTATATCTGGGTTATCCATCAGCATCCAAAGGAGAGCAACGAAGATGGTGAAAGGCCTTGAGGGGAAGTGGGCTGAGGAAGGGCTGAGGTCACTTGGTCTGTTCAGCCTGGAAGAGACTGAGAGGAGACCTCAGTCTACAACTTTTTTATGAGGAGGAGGGGCAGACACTGATCTCTTCTCTGTGGTGACCATTGACGGTACCTGAGGGAATGGCCTGAAGTTGTGGCAGGGGAGGATTAAGGTTCAATATTAGAAAAAGGTTCTTCACCCAGAGGGTGGTTGGGAGCTGCAACAGGCTCCTCAGGGAAGTGGTCACAGCAAGCCTGACAGAGTTCAAGAAGCATCTGGATAATACTCTCAGGCATATGGTGTGATTCTTGGGGATGGATGGTCCTGTGTAGGGCTAAGAGTTGGATTTGATGATCCTTGTGGGTCCCCTCCAACTCAGCATATTCTGTAATTCTGTGATTATGATCTGTGTTCTCCTATGACTTTGATGTTTCTCTAAGTTTAACATTGAGGTCAAACAGGAACCCATTTTGGAGAGCTAGGGGGACATAGAGGATTTTTACCATCATAATCTCTGGTCTTGTCTAATGTGTCTGCTAATGATTTCCCAATTTCTTTCAAGTAAAGTCGTAACTACAAGTACAGTGATTTCTTTTAATGAAGAGATGAAGCAGAAATGTGAAAAAATAAACAATTCCTGGGGATGATTTTGTCACCTGTGAGAATTTTATCAAGTTGTTCGTGAGGACTCTGTGGGCAGTAAGATTCTGATGGAAAAAAACCAAATGTGCTAGAACCTGTGACTTTACTGGTGTCTGAAGTCAGGAGTACCCATGTGTTTCAGAGCACAGTAAGGAGTGACATGGTCCTGGATGCCAGTAGCTGACATCTGGGACCTCTCTTTTAGAGAGCAGTGTCTTAAAAGAGTTGAGGAATATGGGCATTTTCCATTATGAGTAAAGTATTACCACTAGCTATTTCATTGTTTCTCAGGTTTTTACAGCAGCTTGAAAATTATTTGGAAAACTTGTTTGTACAGAGACTGTGCTGGGCTAGCTGTGATCAACAAAGACATCATAAATAAAAAAGGCAATCTTAGAATAATCCAATATTTAACAAACTCATTGGGAAATAGAAATTTTCTTTTAAAATAACAGTACTATGTTTTAAGCAGTAGATTTGCATAGTGTTTTTGAATGTAATGTGTTTCTCAGATAATATGTCTTCTAGAAAAATATTACCACCTGTTTTTTTTTTTATAGGTGTTCATAAATATGAAATCATTAAAAGGAGAGTTTTACAAGGAAAATCAGTCCCCCATTATGCAGCAATAGAGCAAAGTGGAGATGGTCTAATGATTGTTTCCCACAAACCATTCAAATTTATGGAAAGTGAAAGTGACAAATTAGAAGAAAATGATGATACAAAAATATTAAATGAAAAGAAAGGTAAGACTTATCTGGCAAATTATGTAGGCTGCTCTCTTCTTTGGCTTAGAAAATATCTTGTCAGTTTAGCATTTGTTTGGAAACTCTAGCTAAAAATGTTTGTTTTAATATCTGTCTTCTAGACAAATTGGTTTCTTCTTCTGTTTGTTTTTTGCTTAAACCTATATGAGATGCTTTTTTGGATAGGAGACACAAAATTTTTCTATCTTAAGGAAGAGGCTATTTTAGAAACAGAACTATACTAAGTATTTGATAGTAGTTGGATCGGTAACACCTAAATTTATGCATCTGGCTGAAGTACTCAAATTAAGAAACCAATCTTCCTAAATGGGAGGAGGGCATTGACCTCCTCAAATTGTTGTTCCTAAGAGAGCTTTTTGACATGTAATTTACTCCTGCCTAAAATTTAAGTAATAATTTTAAAAAGCCTTTTCCTTTTTAAAGAATGAGAATATTTGAGTATAGACATGTATATAAGTTACTTTCCAAATGAGGGACACAGACAAACTTGATTACTAAAAAAGGATTCCTTCATTTCATGATCAGAATATATTTTGTGTAAATTGTTCAGAGTAAAAGTTAATTTCCACTCTTTCACAAAATTTCATGTGTCCCAGCATTGTGGGATCCAGTAATCCTTGTATCCTTATAATCTAGTTTGTATTTTCTTGCATGTTTCCAATTGTAGACCCTCTTTATTACTGGCAGCAGACTGAAGATGATGTGACCATAACAGTTCATCTGCCTCAAGACATCACTAAAGATGACGTAAAAGTACGTTTTTCTCCTGATAACATATGTGTTACGCTGAGAGACCAGCCTCCTTTAATGGAAGGAAAGCTCTGTTCATCTGTGGACCATGAAAGCTGCACATGGATAATTAGAGAGAACAAAAGGTATTATGTATGATTTTAGTTTTCCTGTTGGTAGGAACTGATGTAGCAGTGAATCTGCCTTGTATGAGATGCTGTGGTTTAAATATGTTTCAAGATGGCTTTTTGTGTTTCTGCAAAGTCACTGCTTCTTCTTCCCAGGACCCCCCAGGACAACAGTTATCTCTGTTTCAGGAATGTCCTGAGAAGATATCAAGAAGTCTTCTCATTGGACCTTGTTAACCCTTTCCTATTGTTTGTTAACCCCTTCCTGCGATTGGGTGTCCTGTAAGCCCCCTGACCCTGTAATTGGTCGCTGTGAATCCTCCTAGGACCTATATATGTAACCACTCCACCAATAAACTCTCTCTCTCGCCTCCTCTCCAAGTCCCGTGTGCTGTCTCTCTGGCTGCCATGGGACCATGTGGTGGGGGGAGGGAGAGCACCTAACCCCTCCATGCGTCCAGGACCCGAAGAAACCCCTGGAGCTGGAGTAACCCCTTCCCTATCCACCTCAGCCGTCAGAAATGGTTCCTCAGATGGAAATGGAACTAGGACTGGTGCACCCCACATCATGTGAGGGAAAAGAGAGCCAGAAACTGATTTCAGAGTTTATGCCATATACTCTGGGAATGGGCTCTTTTAATGCTACACCCAATGTCCCTTCTTGCAAGAATCTGTTTCCTCTGCTGAAAACAGTTCACTGTCTTTTGCAATGCTGTCTCACAATACTGGTTTTTTATCTAATTGTAAAGTAATCCTCTTGTTTTACAGTTAACTTGCCAGGGAAAAAAAAAAAAACAAACAAAACACTCAAAACACCAAAATGTTAAACATAGATTTGTAAGAGTCAAACAACAAACCTTGTTGTTTGTGTTAATAATTTCTCTTTTTACTTCAACTTTCCACAAACAAGCTTTTTTAGTAATAATGTCACAGAAATTCTTTAGGTTTGACTTATAATTTCCTTATTATACTTTCCTAATCAATTATACATTACATACATTATAGAAAATGAGTCTGTGTGATCCTAATATGCTGTAGACCACAAATAGAAATATTCATGCTTTTATTTGAGAAGTAAATTTTAGTTTTCTTTCTGAAATAAAAATATGAAAGAATGGGGGGGGAAATAATTCAGATCTCCCTAAAACACGGTCAGATTTTTCTTTTGTGAGTTGTCTAGTTTTCACACTCTGCCTGGACTGAGCCATATATTCACTCACCACGCTGGTCGGGCTAACTCAGGGAGATATTCACACTCTTTTAATGAACTCAAGGAGAAACATGTACATCACCAATTGATCCACTTAACACTTGATAGCTGTTTATCTACAGCAAAGGCCACCATTTGTGTCGAGATCAGGTCCCCAAAAGGTTAAATGTAAAAACCAGTAATTCTCCAGAAGAATTATATGTTTGTATATAGATTATACTAATACTGTATATTAAACTTCAAGACTTCATGTTTGTTGGTTATTAGGTATCATGCTGAAAAATAACTCAGCTGAGTAACTCAATTTTTTTATTCAATCAAGTGAGTGATATTGCATGAATCTCAGGCTTACTTTAATGAGAAATAGTAATTCCATATTTCAGTGTAATTAGTTGCACTCGGTTCTTGATGTTTATACTGAAGTGCCGCTATAAATCTGTTGATTAAAAGCCTAAAACTTGCTCCAAATGTCTTCTGTAAAAGTGTGCTATTTCTAATACCAGTGAAATTGCTTCAGAAATGATTCAGAGTTCACCAGATAGTTGTTGCTATAATACAGTAGTTAGTAACTTAAAAGGTTTTCTGTCAGAAACACTTTAGCTGTTTTTGCTGGAGACCCTGTAAGTGTTTCTAAAAACTGAGTGTAATAAAACTAACTTTAATTTTATGGTTATATCTATGTGTTTGTCTAAGAGAGTATTTAAATGGAATTGCTGTGTTGGTGCATAAGGCTAAGTGTCTTATTTTGCATTTAGTTAATTAGTTATTCCTAATAATTTAATGATTATTCTCTGTTGAGCAATGATTATTCTGTTGGGTTTTTTTATGTTACAGAAATCTTACTTCTTCTGAGAAATTATTTTAGATAACAGTATATATAATTAACTGTTGTAGTATTTCTGAGGTCTATTAAAATAAATATTTTTGTCCTAGACGTTATATAAAGGTAGGGCACACTTAAGTAGCCTTAGGAACCACTACTTGTGTTTCAAATAAACTGCTGTAGTAAAAGTCTGGCAGTCTTTGAAAAAATTGCTTTACAAGCGATCTCCTGCTGTATATGAAATATTTTAATGAGTCTGCTTCAGGGGAAACTGCATTTACATTGAAAACCCTGAGGTTTGTGCTTAGGCTTTTAGAAATTAATCCTTGGTCTGTTTTTCTTTAGAATATTTTTTGTTAGAATGGTTTATTTTATAATTTGAATGCTAATGGTTTCTGTGATTTTCATTATTAATTCAGCTTGAAGAGAAGTGCTCTAATCTAGAGGATTTTTTTACTAATCTGACAAATGGATATAGCGTTTTCATGTGCTACTCTTTGTATTCTCTTTGCATTTTAGTTTGGAAATTTCTCTAATTAAGAAAAATGAGGGATCCCGGTGGCCAGAGCTAATAGTTGGTGACACAAGAGGGGAATTCATTATGGACCCTTCCCAATGCTCCGAAATAGCTGAAAGCCTGATGCATCTGACTTCTGAAGTAATGGTAAAGAGTTGAAAATGAAGCATTCAAAATTCTTGTACATTTGCATGTTGTCTTTTCTTGATACCCTAATTTGCAGTTCATTGACCTGGTTCATTAATTCATTTACTATTCAGACTCCTAACTACATTCATTTTTAATTGAAACTGTTAACAAACAAATGGGACTAGAGTTGTGAATGTATTTTGAACAGTAATATCATCTTCATGTGAGACTCAATTTAGCTTACATGATAGTGTCTGTGCACCAAACAGAAGCCTGATTTAACATTGAACATAGACTTTGTTCCCACCATTTAGGATGTGGCCGTTTGTTTTAAAGCAGTTAATTTGATTTTGGAGGCTGTCTGTTTCTTATTTATCAATAGGTTAGCAATACTTTTCTACTGTTTTCCTAGGGATACTGTATTTGACCTACATACTGTGAGTGTAAATGACATGTTTAAAAGCACGACTCATGAACTTTCTGGCATTATTATTATACAGGAAGTCTACTTAAAACAAAATAAAATGTACTTTTTAACTGCTGTTTGCTTGATACTTCCCCTTTTGGTTTAATTAGAAAATGGCATCTCATCTAAAATTTTTGAAGTGTGATTCCTTGTGGTTCTTGATGTCTCAGTTTTGGATTATTTCTTTTTTTAAATAAGGCTGAAAAGTGTTACTAAATTCTGTTTAGTACTTCAAAGTGATTTCTCTCCTCTCTCGCTCATTATTTGTGAGTAAAATATTGTAGTATATCTTTTGACTATAGATTCATTGGGAACTTCAAATATCTTTTCTTTTGTACCCCATACTGAGGTTAAAGTGATGATTTTTTTTATCATAGTTTTCATTAATTGAAAAAATATTAAATATATTTAAATAAATTAAAATTATTATTAGGAAAGCTAAAAGGAAGCATGTATTGAGAGCTCCTCACAAAATAATTTAATCCATTTTTTTAATAGCATTTTCAATAACAAGCTGAAACAAGTATACACTGATGTACATTTACTAAATATGCATAGGTTTTCAGGGTTGTATACTTTTGCTACTTAGAGAAGGGAATTTATTGACCATGTTTTAGTGGCTTATGTACCTTTCCTCAAACTGAAATGGATTTTGTTATACCTACCATTCATGCTATCCTCCACATCAGAAATGGTTCTATTAATTTTGAATAAGTTCATAATAGCTTAACCTTTCAGTATGTATGGATAGGCAAATGATTCTTCCAGTTCTATTGATTTTTTTTCTGTTATGAAAAGAGATTTATATATTTCTTTTTTTCTGTAGTTTGGATTTTCAGTGTAGTCCATTGTCTTTATTTCAGAATCCAAACCCTGAAAAGGAAAAACCACCTTGTAATGCTCAGGAATTAGAAGAATGTGATGCTTTTCTTGAAGATGGCGCAAGCTTGTGCAGATTTGATGGCGATACCTTGAAAGTCACTCATATAGTAAGTACTGCAAATTACTACAGAAATACTTTAAAACATTTTTGTATGCAAGTTGAATTCTATTATCGGTACAAAAATTGCAAACTCTTGAAAACACGTAAATTTCTTCCATAACATCATATCACAGTAGCAACAGAAATTGTCCAACCAGATGTGTCCTTCAATGTCACTTTAATATAAAAACAAGGTTCCTTTTCTTCTGATTTAAATATATATATACTTTCACAAGTCAGCCATTTGAAAAAGCAAAGTTATGTCAAAATAATTATAAGAAAAGGGTCTTTTTCAGTGGCATAATATTCTTTAGATGGCTTAGTTTGCATTTTTCTTAGTAATTTTTCAGATAGCCTGGTAGAAAGTGCACCCTTTTTACTAAGAAGCTGGAGCATAGATCACTTTATGATCATGGCTAGGCTTCGCGAACGAAGATTTGGGAAGGGCTCTACCCACGTTTCTTGCAAGCGCGTTGGTGGCTAAAAAGGCCAATACGAGATAGGCATGTCCGGTTGCAAAAGACACAGCAGAAAGACTCCTTAGATGGTATATTCTGCAAGGCACAATTCTTTCTGCGTTGTCTTTTCTCCTCAAGGGTGATCCTGCGTGCTTTCTCCGAAGCATCAGCAGCGTTATAGAGGGTCTGTCTCCAGGCCTCCCGATTGGAGGCCAGAGTAGACCAGTTATGATGATCAATATGCCCGAGGCTGAGTTGTTGCTTCAGGGAGTCCTTGTATCTTTTCTTCGGGGCTCCTCTCTTGCAGCAGCCAGTGGAGAGTTCACCATAAAGCAGGATCTTAGGGAGGCAGTGGTCCTTCATCCTGGAAACATGCCCTGCCCAACGCAGCTGCGTTCTCAGTAACATGGCCTCAATACTTGTGATTGCTGCCTGTTCAAGAACAGATGTATTGGTCACATAATCTGACCGGTGGATGTTTAGGATTGTACGGAGGCAGCGTTGATGGAAGCGCTCTAGGAGACGCAGGTGGTGGCAGTAGATGACCCATGACTCGGAACCTTATAATAGAGTAGACAGCACTATGGCTCTGTAAACACCGATCTTTGTGCTTTTCTTCAGGTGTTTATTACGCCAGACTCTTTTATGGAGTTTTCCAAAAGCACTATATGCCTTTGCTAACCTATCACTTTATGATACTTCTTTGTCAATCGCACTGAAAATAACAGATTGTAGGCAAAACGCTTTAATAATAGTCTTGATCTGGGCTGTAAGCAACCTTGACTAACAGTAAAATTATAACCTAATTCGGTCATCCGGCTAGAGTGGGAAACAGCACAATCTTACAAAAACATTACAGATCAACTCATTGTCTTGTGGTTGTTTGGGTTTTTTTTCAAGATGTTTCTATTAAGCTTGTAATAAACATTGGTTTTGCACCCTGTCACTACCCTGTGTCACACAAGTACATGTAGGATAACCTGTTTTGTACAAACATGTCATAGTTACAGGATAAGATTTGATTCAGTTCATAATTTTCTGTTTCCTCTGAAAAAGCTAGAGAAGAAGTCTGAAGTCTATCTTAGAGAGCTTGGTGTTTTGTTTGGTTTTTTTTTCTTCCTTGATTTTTTTTTTAATCTCGTCTTTTTTTTCTCTGGCAGTACAGATACATGGCTCCACCAAGAAAGTAGTCTGTTTTGTGGATTCAGTGTGACAGACAGATATTTGTCAGTAGATAAAATCTGTTATTGGTAGGAGGACATTTTACAGAAACTCCTACAAACATATTTATTGACAAGTGTGCCAATCTGAAATTTAGTGATTATTTGATTGTGACTAAATTAAAAATGCTGACATTTTCTAGTTTTAGTATTCTGACTAATCCTTGTTTCAGTGCTTACCAGCTTTTACCTCAGAGGGACAGTATTTCCTTCCCTGTTGGCATTGCAGAAAACCAGACGTGATTACTTAGAGAGAATCTTTTCTTAACATCAGAAGTTGCAGGTTAGGATCCTCTATCCTAGAAAACCATTTCTGCACAAAACACCTTCCTATTTGCTTGTATAGTAGACATAATGTTTCTCTAAATATTATCCCAAGAAACTTAATTGCATCTGTTTGAAATGTGTTAGGTACCTGTGATGTATTGAGCTATTGACAAGTGGGGATGCAACATAATGTATTCAAACATTTTGTCAACTAAGAGACATGAAACTGTTGATCATCTAAATTTAGCATATGTGTAACAGAATCTACTTTTTATGCTTTGAATCAGTATTTGTTTTGTTTTCAGATTAATCTTGGAAGCAACCAGTATCTTTTCTCAGTTGTTGTGAATCCCAGAGAAATGCCATGCTTCTGCCTGAGACATGATGTTGATGCTCTTCTCTGGCAACCTCACTCTGACCAACCAGAGAACATGTGGGAACACATTGCAACTTTTAATGCTTTAGGTAGGAAATTAACTTCTGTGTCACACACCTGAAACTTTTCTATCTGAATGCTTTTAGGATGGCTTCTGTTGATATTTCTCTTATATTAACTTCCAATTCAGATTTAAGTAATTTTTTTGATAGCAGCGTGGTAGCTTAGTTTTAGACATAAGAGAGCATAGAAATAAAATGTTTATGCTCTGGAAGGAAAATAAGCCTTTTCAGACCATGTACAGGATGCAAGCACAGTACTGCACAGTTAAAAGGAGAGTTCCTTGGATAAGTGAACTTGAATTAGAGACTTGAAAAGCACAATCACTACGTTAACACACACACAGAAAACATCAGGGAAATAGCTGCAGTTAATTGATTATGTGTCTAGTATATGTAAACTTAAGGTAAGATGTTTTAATAAGAGACCTCTAGATTTTTGCTGTCTCATTGTCCCATGTCATAACCATTGCCATGCATTGTTCAATGGGAGTGAAGCAAATAACCTTTCAGAAAGATGGTAGATCGTTTGGCAAAGATTGTGTCTCAAGCCTCTTTACAAAAGTGTGAAAAGAAATCAGTCTGAAATAAGTCTGATTGCTAATAGAGTCCTGTAATGAAAGAGGAAAAGGAAGATTTTTTCCTTCTGAGTGAATATTAACAGAAATTACAGTGTGTTGAAAAGTAACTCATTTTTTTTCAGTCAGTTCTAAATAGAAAACAAGTTTTAAGTGTCTGTTCAAGATTAGAGAAGCTCAGAAATCTTAATTTTTAAATGTAATTACACACTGGGAGATGAAGGGAGAAAAGAGTTATTCTGCTAATATTGGGTCAAGATTGCCCTTATGGGCCATATCTGTGCCTTATGATCCTGCTGAGAAAATGAAAGACCTTGTGGGGCTTTTATCTAGCTGTACATACATATGTATAAAAACCACCAGTTAAGATGGTGTACAGAAGAATTGTATGTTGGCATTAAACTGGTTAATGCATCCCTCCAGAAACTGTTGCCTTATGTAATAAGAACATATATCTTCTTTTTTTTGTTGCATATTGTTTTTTAAGTTAAAGCTTGGTTTTGTATCGGCCAGTTAAAGTGCTGTTGAAACCAATATATTACTTATCCCTTCTGCTTGGTTTTGGGCTACACAGGTTATGTCCAAGCATCAAAGCAAGACAAGAAGTTCATGGCTTGTGCTCCAGATTACTCCTACGCTGCTCTTTGCGAGTGCTTGCGACGAGTTTTCATCTATCGTCAGCCGACTCCTCTGGCCACAGTTCTCTACAACAGGAAGGAAGGAAGACAAGTAGGACAGGTTGCTAAGCAGCTAGTAGCAACCCTGGAATCAAATGATCCTATCTTAGGCTTTCAAGCTACAAATGAGAGATTATTTGTTCTCACAACAAAAACCTTGTTTTTAATAAAGGTGAACTCTGGAAATTAATTATTCAGTGTGCTCTGCTGTAGTTTGTGTTAACAATTTATTGTAGAACTGGATAGGCAGATGATCTGACAAGTTCAGTGCAATTTGCTGAAATTCAAAAAGGGGATGTTTTACAGGGGAATCTAATTTTTTCGTTAGAATATGTCTGTAAGATAGCGACAAAGTTTTTCGACTTTGCTGCCACTGAAATAAGCTTTTTCAGAGCTATGGGAAAGTGTCTTCTGCATCAACAGCTTTGTCAAAGCAATTGTCAGAGACTGCTACTGCACATGTGAATAGGTTTATGCACTGTTTGTTCCAATTGACTTTGTTTGCCATAATTCTGAATTTTGAGAATTCACTTCTGTTTTTAAATGCCACTGTTTACCTATGAAAAAAGTAGTCAGATGAAGAGTTACAAGCATATGATGTGGAAAGTAGAATGTATCATTAAAAAAAAAATCCCCAATTCAAATACTCTTGACCAAAAACTTTTGATACTTTGACATTCAGTAGTATTGAGTAAAATGTGAATGAAATGAATGGAGTGTTATGGATCTTATACAGGACTTCAGTGGAGCAATTTCATGGCATGTGCGCATTTTAGATTATTGGTTTGGGACTTACTTATACTTGCAGTGCAATCTGTTCATATTTTAAGAGACACTAGAATACCTTCTAGTAGTTTTTTCCAGAAGCAAAGTAAGGGTCAATGTATAGCTGGCAAATACACATTGAATGCTATTAGTTAAGGTCTGGTTATACTCTCAGTTGTGCCATTTTCATTTGACTTTGTACTTCATCTCAAGTGAGTCATTTACAATGAGAAAATGGCTGACAGAAAAAGCACCAATAATGTAAAAAGCACTGGTATTGTAACCTGGGATGGGAAACTCAGAAGTGCTACTTCTGCCTCTGATCCCACTGTAAATGCTGTGTTATTACTTAACCATTCTGTCTGTGATGCTCAAGTCCAGGTGTGGTATATTTGCAACGTAAGAGTACTCAGGCCAGTGAGGATGCTTTGGTTTAACAAACTGCTGTGGTTGAGTTGAATAGTTGTATCTGAAGATTTTTGGTTTTGTTTTTTTTTTTCTTTAAATTGGCATTGTCAATACATTTAAACCAAAGGGTCAGTTGTGACAGCTCCACCCTGGGTTGGGTTTTTTTTCAAAGAATGCCTAATATATTGTGTACTGGCAGGAAAGCTGCTGTTATCTGTGGTACCAAAGTACTGAGAGAATCACAAATACAAGTGGCCTTCTAGTTTGCATCTCTCTTCTGATATCATTTCAGAACTCTATAGAGTATTGAGAGGAAAAATAAGTGTTTCTTTAGTTGTGATTGTTTTTACTCTCCTGTAAATTCTCCAGACTTGTATTGGTGAACTGATTAAATAATAAGTGAGAATTTGAGAGAGAGGCAAGCAGTTGTACCTTGTAAAAACCCTTGAAGAAACTTTCCAAGGAACCTGATTTTCCTTCTCCTTACAGCAGGGTTATGTTGTATATCTAATATTGAAAAGTTTTTCCTTGCTCTTTTACACTATCTTGGAAATGCTTTTTCAAAAGGCTCGCTGAATGTATTACCATTTCATGACTGTTTTGCATCTAAATTTTAATTGTTGGGCAGTAATGTCAAACAAGGTGGTAGAATTCCTGCAGAGGTCCTGTAGAAAAGATTTGATATAGCTTATTACTTTGCAGCATAAAGTAAGTGCTTTTACATGTATATGAATATTACTTAGTAACCTGAAATTTAATCATTGTGAACACGGAGTTAAGAACGTGATATTTGGGAAATGGAGGAGTGAAGGATTCATAGGCAACATGATTTTGTCACCTTGGGTCTATTGCAGGAAGCTTCAATATAGATGAGAATTTCAGCTTTCTTTGTCAAATTCATCTTGCTGTGAGGTAGATATCTGGAAACATGCTCTGCTGTCTCAGGCAACAGTGGAAACAAATAAAATGGTTACCTCTTCAGAGGCTGTATTACAATATGTAATGACTAGAACTCACATTCTGCCCAAATGTGTGTCCATTTCAAGGGAGTTCTTGTTTACTTCTGGAAATAAATGAACACAGGGAAAAGGTTCATCCCTTTTTCCACATTACTTATCTGTTTGCAATCATGGTGTTCTCAAAAGGGATGTATTAAATACTCTCTCTCTTATTTTGCTTTCTATGAGAGTTAAGGATATTTTATTTTTTAAAAGATTTGTTATCTTGAGGAACCTGGCATGCTGTTACAGGGCAATCCCAAGCACAAAAGCAGGGTGGGCAGGGAATGGATTGAGAGCAGCCCTGAAGAGAAGGACTTGGGGGTGTTGGTGGGTGAGAGGCTGGACATGAGCTGGCAATGTGCACTTACAGACCAGAAAGCCAAACATGTCCTGGGCTACATCACAGGAAGCATGACTGGCAGGTCGAGGGAGGTGATTCTGCCCTGGTGAAACCAGGTGAAAATGTGAAACCAGTTGCCCTGGTGAAACTGCTCTGGTGAAACCCCATCTGGAGTGTTGTGTTCAGCTCTGAGCTCCCCAACATAAGAAAGACGTGGACCTGTCAGAACGAGTCCGGAGGAGGGACACGAAGATGATCAGAGAGCTGGAGCACCTCTGCTATGAAGACAGCCTGTGGGAGTTGGGGTTGTTCAGCCTGGAGAAGAGAAAGCTCTGGGGAGACCTTATAGTACCTAAAGGGGGCCTGCAAGAGAGTTGGGGAGGGACTTTGGACAGGGACAGGGACATGTAGTAATAGGACAAGGAAGAATGGCTTTAAACTGAAAGAGGGTAGGTTTAGATTAAGTATTGGAAGAAATGCTTTACTTTGAAAATGATGAGACACTGGAACAGGTTACCCAGAGCAGCTGTGGCTGCCTCATCCCTTGAAGTGTTCAAGGCCAGGCTGGATGGGGCTTTGAGCAACCTGGTCTGGTGGAAGGTATCCCTGCCCATGGCAGGGGGATTGGAACTAGATGGTCTTTAAGGTCCCTTCCAACCCAAACCATTCAATAATAACTAAATGGCTGCAAGCCACTGGGATGCACTCTCTATCAGTATTTCCATCTCTGTGTTCGCTTACTTTTAAGACTCATTTGTTCAGCATATCATGAGTAGGCTTATACAAAGTATAGAATGTGGATTTTTAAAATAAATGGTCTTCTGAAAACTGAGAATCGTGCTTCAATTTTTCTAGGATTTTATTTCTTGAAATCTTACATTTTAAGAGACAGTTCTTCCAGAGAGGTCACAATCACAATCTGTTTACAGAATTTCTGAGAAATTATTTGGCTATTACAGATTTGCATTATTTGCTTTTAGTATTCTTTTTCAGTGCTTTCCTTGGCTGCCTGTTTGGAATGTATCATGTTTTCTTCTATAACTTTAAATAAATGGAAAAAATGTAAAATTTATTAATAAAGGGGGTTTTAATTATTTTGAAGGATTTATGTTAATTTCAAATCTGTGTCCTTCCTATGCTACTGAAATAAAATAGGAAAATAGAAATAAGTCCTTAAAGTGAGACTTATGTTAAGGAGCTTTCTGTTAGAGCAAAGTTCTAAAGGGTGTCTACTGCAGGACTGTGGCACTATTGCACTCCTCACTTATCTCTGTGAAATCTTGTTAATGTTCCGTTTCTGCCAACATACAAATTTACAGAGGTAGTTACTGGAGGGGGGTGATAAGTATTCAGGTGTATTCTTGCTTTAAAGTGCATGTTGCACCTCTTATCCTGTGTCTTTTTTTGTGTACAAGACCCAAATGATCTGGGCAAACCCTTCTAGGTGGGATTTGGAAATCTGGTGGGATTTGTTTCTCCTCCCCATTTTTATCTGTGCTATGGATAAAGATCGGCAAGGTCAAAAGATAACTGGTCTTGACCAAAAGGCTCTTAGCTGATGCTTGACTCTTCTACCTCAAAGACTATTGCAAACATTTAAAACTCAAAGTTTAGTCCCTTTTGCTTGGAGAAGTATTTGCTGGAGTAATATTTTTTTGCTTTATAAAAGGTTTAAGCTACTCCTGAAAAAATTACTTTTTTTCATAAAGATACTTATCATGAAGTGGTAGCTGAGTATCAAAATATGATGATACATATAATTAACAATTTCAGAAGCAGACCTGGAAAATACTTGTTGTAATCTTTACTAATCTAATGCTCTAGGCAAAATACCCTTTATATTTCAGTATGATTTGGCAATTCAATTGGCAGTTGCAAAGAATTGTTAAGAACAACAGAGGAACGTAAATTTTTTAGAAATGAATCATTTTAGACTGTCACATAATTCATCATTATGCTATGATGAATAGACCCTAACTACTAGTGTATTCCACTAATACATTTCTTAATCTATTAATTACATTCTGATTGTGCCAGAGTTGTGTGTGTATGTACATTGGTATTTTCATCTATATCTATATATGCACACACTTGTATGTATTCTACTGCCTTAAAGTATTGGGGAGGGTGGGGTGGCTTCCAGAGAGGAGAATCTTTTAACATTACTGACAGCAAAGCATAGATTCTTTATTAACCTGTTCATGGCTCTGTTGTGAAGCTTAAGTATAAATACTTTGCTGTATTCTAAAACATGGATTTACACTTGGGAATAAGTTCTTGAATGTGAATAAATGCTGATTATTAGTTCAAAAGCCCTTGGAATCTGCATTGCAATGGTTTTGATTTATCTTTTTTAACTGTTTAGGTTTTCCTGTGCATGTTGCCCCACATCAAAATGCAAACACCTGTAAGTCTGACATAAATGTGTTGCAATGTCATAGTAACTGCTTTATGTGAAAACATCAGTCATGAATCCTGTGGTGTTTTCTTTCTGCTGAGGATTAAATATGATATATCTCAATATTTCATTATACCCAAACTTAAACAGCTCAGAGGCCAAGTATTGAGTAGAGACCTCAAGTTGGCAGAAATGATGCAGGAATAATAAGCATTTATTTTTATCAAAACAAGTGATGTTTAGTGGGAAAAGGAATAAGATCCACTGAATACTAATTCAGTCACTTCAGGCACTAAAATTGGAGCTGATTGGCCTTTAATGATTTTTCTCTTTGAAGCTATTAGTTCTCCCTGTTTCATGTATTCCTCTCTAATAAATATAGAGTACCTTATGGTAATTTTAGCTTTAACAATTTATGGGAATATTCTGAGTAACTGAAATAGACTTGCATATGGACTATCTAACATGCAGGCATGAGGTACAAGATGGATAGATGTAGTCAAAAAGAGACTAGGAACTCGGGCTCTTGATTTGATCAAGGGCTGGTGACCATCTAAACAAAAATAAAAACTGATGCTTTGAAGACATTTTTGTGAGTTGCAATGTCAGATTCTAAAAAGAGTAAAAATATGGGAATCTGTGCAGAATCATCACAGAATCATAGAATGGTTTGGGTTGGAAAGGACCTTAAGAATCATCCAATTACAACAGTCCTGCCACGGGCAGGGACACCTTTCACGGGACCAACTTCACTGGACCAACATCCACAACTTCTCTGGGCAACTTGTCCTAGCGCTTCACTACCCTCACAGTAAAGAATTTCTTCTTATTATCTAATCTAAACCTACTCTCAGTTTAAAGCCCTTGTCCTATAGGTACATGCCCTTGTAAAAGTCCCTCTCCAGCTCTCTTGTAGGTCCCCTTTAGGCACTGGAAGATGCTGTAAAGTCTCCCAGGAGCTGTCTTTTCTCCAGGCTGTACAACCCCAACATTCTCTGCCTGTCTTCACAGGAGAATAAGCCTGCTTAGGCAAGATATGATATACACAGGCTCCCTTTTAAAATCTTATACTCCATTCAAAGCAGTTGGATCAATCAGAAAGAGAACGTTTGTGATCAAGTCTTCCTCTGTTGCCATTTTTATGCATTTGGCAAGGATAAGTCATCAGCAAAACTGCCGGGATGCTGGCATGATTGGAGTCACTCCTTTTGTGCTGTTTCTTGCCTGATGCAGCTCCAGATGGTTGCTGCTGTCTGAAAAATTCACAAGGATAGTAGTTAACAAGATATTTAAGCAAAAAGTATTTGCTACTGTTAGCAGCACAGTTCTGAACCTCTTTGAATCCAATGTGATAAAATCTGCCTTTTCACAGTTTTCTCATAAAACAAATGAACAAAAAAAAAAAACCCTGAACAAACAAAGGAACAAAAAAACAT